ACAGAATGGAAAATATGTTTTAACACAGATTATTGTAAATATCCGTATTCTATTATCGTAAATAAATAAAACTGAAAGATTAGAGATATTACGTAATACCAGGTCCTAGGTTTAAATTTGAACGAAACTATAATCGTTTCATATGGGAGAGCACTAGATACGCCTTCAAACACACAATCGTGCCTACTTGGGGGTTTTAATACACCTTCTTTAATGAACCTCTGGACCCTGACACCACATATAACAATTCTGATGAAGTGACAGCCCTATTGCTCTCATTTCAGCATGCTTAACTTAGCAACCACACCCACTAAACAAATTTAAGCCAAGAGGACGTTATCGGCTTCCCATTACCAATTTCACTTTCGTTGTGTTGGTGAGGGACCAGTCAACGGTCTGCGGTCATCGAACTCGCGTCCTCGGCCGCGTGCCGATTAGATAATTTCCGCGCTGCGTTGTCAAAATACTCATGACCCAATGGTACAGTGAATACGATGGGTCAATGAACTGCAATGCACAGTATTTTTATTTTTTATGTGAGACGAAATTTTCGAAGTAACTCCAGAAGGTACCAATTTTAGATGTTCTTCTGGATTTATTAAAATCGAAATTACCACGAACGCGAGCCGGAGTTTTGGATGTTGAATTCGGGAAGCCTACTCCTAGAATATACTGCCCGCCCGATCGAAAACCATCTCCAAATGTATCACTAGTGTTGGTTCTGGGACACAATTGCCTTCGAATTGTATGAGATATCTGAAGATGAAATATAGTTACCTGGACATATTATGTTAAGACTTACTGACAGCTTCTAGCAGGCATATAGTCTCGCCAGCGGGACTGCCAGTAAACCTGTAGTCCTAATAATTAAAAAAAATGCGGTGCTAGATGCGGCGCAATTTTTTTGTATAGATTTTTATTAACCAATATTAATCAGTATCCTGCATTCTTTACACGTCATTCCATTTGAAAATTGTTTCCACGAAATCTTTAACAATTTCCGGCCCCGAATCTTAGATTAGTCTTATCAACTAGCGATTTAAATCTATCTTTGTATTGATAACAGGACAGTTTTAGTACAGCTTCATAATATTGTTTTAAGAATGCGTTATTTGAAGAAAAACTAAGGTGCTTTAATGTATTTCCATATTCATGTTGTCTCACCTTTTAAGTGGCTTTACTAATGTTGATTGGGTAACTAAGCAAATTTGGAAAGGCATAATACGGTCGATATAATATCGACGAAATATTTTATGACTTTAGCTGTTAATAATATCAGACATTAATTTTTACAAGCACTACTATTATAGTGATATTAATTGGTGATATGGGACTGTAAGTATTACATTCAGGATTCCGCCCTATCCTTGCTAGTGCTTCTGCAGTTGCCGGAAACATTACCATAAATAGCGAACTGTGGAATCAACTCCCGGTAGCGGTCTTCCATGGAAAATACAACCTTCAATTGTTTAAAAAAAGCCCGGAAATAGCCCGCAAGACACCCAATAAAATAGGCTGAGATGACTTAAGTTGCCCGTAGGCTCGTTATGAATCGTTTAAGTCTTTTTCTTCGAGAATTTCATACTCATATTCGTATAGTTGTTCGGAATAATACCTATAGCTGAGTTTCATCATCGGACGTCAAGGCAGATTACGAAATTCCACCCGTATCACCTCGACGTCCGCCGTACCATAACTTAGCGTTTTTCAAGGCAGTTTTTCCCGCGCACCACCACTTTTTGGAACCAGCTGCCCATTGAAGTATCTCCGAACCAATTCGACTTAGGGTCCTTCAAGAAAAGAGCGTACTAAGTCTTGAAAGGCCGGCAACGCACTTGCGAGCCTCCTGGCAATGTGGGTGTCTATGGGCGGCGGTATCACATAACATCAGGTGCCTTGCCCCTGCCTCCTGTTACATAAAAAAAATACACAAATAGTCAAAGCCAAATCATTTATTTCAATTAGGTCTAAAAAAACTAATTGCCGCTTCCAAAAGGAGATATGGAGAATAATTGGCAAGAAAAACTTACTCTTTACTTATAATATTCATTCGACCTTGAGATTTACCTACAGCAAAATATATCCTTTATTACACTTGCTATTGTTGTAGGTGTACTTATTTTAAATTATACACTTAAATATGGGTGAATGGCACTGCGCACGCGAAATTACGTCAGTAACTAAACTATTAGATCATAGAGCTGGGTTCAACAACACCGCAACGATTTGAATGCACTTTATCTGCATAAATATCGTCTTATTATCTTCGAGAGTTTTGTTACTTAAGATATATTATCACGCCTTGATAAGTGCATATTAGAACTGCGTAATTTAATGCAAATTTTCCTACATTAACCTAAATTATATTCAATAACCATTTGTGGCGATAAGCTATTTAATATTGTGATGGGCGCTAGTCACTAACACATAATCCAGGTCGAGTTTGATTCCCGGCGTATTAGGGTGTTGGAATCTCGTCAGTTTCAGGCTTTTATATGAACCTCTTGATATGTTTAAGTTTATTTTCCTAGCAATCGACTTAGTAGGAAAACCTTCGCGAAAGAGGCGGCTACTGCGCTGTTATATATTTTAATAAGTACAGTTTACTTTGGTAATACAGCAACGATTTTAAAGCAATTTACAACAAAGTTTTAGACGATTTATGCGTGTAGAATGTTTCTATGTATAAAATTTCACTTGCTACATTCTCTGCTACATAAAACATAATTGAAAATGATTGTTCCGTTGTGTTATCTTAACTTGCCATTTGAAATCAAAACAGTTTAAAATAAAACCTAAAACTCTTTATTAAACATCGATCCAATTGGCTAATACACGTTGAAATATTTTTAAGAATAACACAAAATAATACGTTTTCGTTTTTCAAATCCCAACGAATGCCTTTTTATCTACTTTGCAAACGTGCCAAAAAAGGCGTGTCGTTAAATGAGAATTTGAATATGCATATTCTAATAGGCGGTGAATGCACGAGGCGACCGGCGCGAGGCCGGCCGATCACCTTCCTTATGTAACCTATGCCATAAAGTGCAACGCCCACGAATAAAACGATAAATGGGCAAAACCTGTCCATGTTTTTGATGTTAATGCACTTTTGCGATAGATTGTACCTCCCCGTGGAACGACCTTGGCATAGCCGCGTGCTAGCTATCGCGTTCTTCGGAAACCATTCCATCCTCATTTGCCAGCCCCACCTACCCGGTTTTGTGTTTAAATACGCTATTAGCGGATTAAAAAGTGTAAAAGCTTAACTATATATTTCAAAATATAATATTTATAGAAAATTAGCTTTCTCTATCTGGTCTCGGTCTTTATATTTAAAATAGTTCCTTTCCACTATTTTTCCTAGAAATAAACAATGGCGTAAATGTAATGGAGGCGGCATAGCAAAATTGTATCAAAGAGCAAATCACCCACAGCCGTCTTCATACCATTCGAAAAAAAACAACTTGTTTTATTTTGAAACAAAATAAAAAAAGGATATTATATATATTATAATAAAAGTACGATTTCACTACGTAGAATAACTCCCTATGTCCATTACTAGTGAAAATCATTCGTAAACGTTTTTATAACAACCACTAAAATTAGTTTCATTATATTACCCATAATCTTAATACAAAATAAATATTGGCAACATTTTTTTACAGACATTCAATATTAGATAATCTTCGTTGAAGTTTTCCCTAACGCCTGTTTTGAAACAAATAGATGATCATTCGTCATTAAAGTTGATTTATTTACTTTTGTGGACGTAAAATATCAGTATTGTGTTACTGTAAGGTCCTAAATTCTGGTAGGTTCTGTATTACTATTATTTTATTATGTTCTGTACTTAAATTACCTGCAGTTACAGACTGTAGTTTACGAGTACAGTAGAACTTCTTTAAGTTGAACCTCAATAAGAAGAAAACCACCAAAACTGGAAAAAAATTTTTGTTCCCTTCCCTTCAAGCACCAAAACCTCCATTACTAGAAATGTCAACACTTTATCAGTCGAAATAATCCGCCGAAGGGAGCCGTTTTGCTATTATTTTTCGAACAATTGGACCTCTGTATCCCGAATGTAGCAATGTTTTATTTAAAACCTTTACTTTTCGATAATATGAATCTTATTACGACTATAGACTAAGAATTTGCCGACAGCGTAAGCCATTGTTTCTTAGATTTTATAGGATTATACAATAAATAATATAACAACCTCAGGAAGTTTTGACTCACGTGCCACCAAGTATGGTGTACAAGTCGAATCAAAATCCGCCTAAGTCAAAAACTCTAACACGATTTTTTAGTCCACCTTTATGTAATAGCATCAAATGTAATAGACCTACTACATCCTAACTATAACCATTATTGAACATATTGCAGTCAAATGCACGAACTTTCTTAAGTAACTTTTCTGTATATTAAGCTATCAATCCTGACACAACAGCGAGAAACAAACAGATTTGGCGTTACGTGTATAATTGTATAGCTTCCAATCCGATATATATTTTCGAACTTACGAAGAGGGTATTAATAAAACAAAGATTGTATATAAAAAATATAATGGCACAATATTGAGTAATAAAATACAATTAACAATATAAGGCACATAGCTCGATTGTTATCGTTGTTTTTATGTAATAGGAGGCAATCGCGCAGGAGGCTCGTTGCCAGAAAACTCGCAAGTGCGTTTAAAGAATTATAAGTATTACATATCTTCTACGTCACTATTTATAGACACATTTCTGTGGCGGTCTATATATTTTTCAATTGAGATTCTAGCTCCTGATACTTTAAACAATTCATATTCAATGTAAGCATACTTTCCAGGAATTATTTTAAAGTTTTGAAAATAAACAGCTTATATCAAAGATAATATAGCATTCTAATGGCGAAAGAATTTCGATCATTGAAAATTTAAATCGGTCCTGAAGGTTTTAAGATTAATCATTGCTTCCAATTTCCTTATAATATAGCGATTTTATATGCGGAAATAATCAACTGACATAAAACGGCATACTACACAACTCCTTACTAGCCAACCTCGCGGCTCTATTCAACGTAACATTACAATGGGAATGGAGTTCCTCCAAAACCTCACTATTTCTCTTCCTCCACTCATTTTCCATGGCTGCTGAAAAGGCTGTACACGAATAAGTACACAATAAGCTAATTAAAACACATATTCTTATTTTTAAAGCGTCATTTTGTTGTTCCAAAAGCTTTAGGAAGGTAAAACTCCGGTCTTCGAACAATATTCGCTCGACTATGTCCGCGTGTTCCGGCAAATCTTGAAGTATCGTTATAAGGAGGCCGATTAGGTTGAGAACTATTCGTGGAGATTTTGTGGCTGTAACCAAAAGTATTATATATAATAGGATTTTATTAAGACTATAGAAACTATTTCATAGTTTAAAAAAAAAAATTGAAAGGTTTCTGTTATATGAAAATTGTATTCGTTTTTACAAACTCCAAAGCGAAATTAGTTTCAAAAATTCTGAATATTCCGCACAATTTTGTTTAAAGTCATTTCGTAAATGCCCAAAGGCTAACTATTCTACCAGTCAAATAAACTCTAAATCAATATCTACAAGCAAATTTTTATTAACTTTTGTAAAACTAATGTTTAGAGTATTATAAGAAAAAAGTTGACTCCCAAGTTAATAAATTAGTTTTGTTAGTGTTACAGATACCGGAAAACATCTTAAACAAATGTCCTTGCCTCCGCAGAAGCGATTTTTAAGTATTACTGGGTCGCGGGCGGTGGTGCGCGGCTGCGGGAGAGTGACGTGTCGATCGCGTGATTGGTAAATCAGATGTTTCCCGAGCTGCGCAATCTTTCCCCCACTCCCTTGTTTAATGCTCAAGAAGTTTGCCGGTATCTGCATGAGCATCTAATTTAGTTTTTTTTACTAAATTTTCAGAAGGTATTATACATATACTTACATATAGTAAGCAGTCCAGTATAAACTGTATGCGCGTTCCCAAGTGAGGTGGCGAGTTGGCGAACTGCGCGACACGAGCGACCGCAGAGCCATAGACATACTTCTAGCATTCGACTTACACCACGAAGTCTATAAAAAAAATAACCAACTTCAATAAATCAGTGGTGTTACAACCTTTTTAGGTCTGGGCCTCAGATTTCTGTATCTATTTCATGATCATTCGTCAATCTCATAGGCAAGTAGGTGATCAGCCTCCTGTGCCTAACACACGCCGTCGGCATTTTGGGTCTAAGACAAGCCGGTTTCCTCACGATGTTTTTTCCTTCACCGTTCGAGCGAATATTAAATGCACATAGAAAGAAAGTCCATTGATTGAAACTAAGACCTCAGGGATGAGAGTCGCACGCTGAAGGCAACACTGCTTTGACTTCAACCACAAAATGAAAAATCTATGTATGTTACGAATTTTGTATACTCTGTCAAAACATTTGTTCTGACATATTTAATTTTATCTAGAGGCGTTACTACCGTAAATGAGATTGTATGATCATTTTAATTTCATAGACAAGTAGATCAGCCTTCTGGCTGACACATGACAATTTTTGTTGTCCTTCGCCGTACGAGCGAATGTTAATACGTATATAGTGGGGCCGTTCAAGTATTACGTAAGCACTATAGGGGTGAGGGGGAGGGAGGTCTTTGAGTTTATTATTTGGATTATTAAGTTTTTTACACATATTACCCACACATTGTCTATGCTTGAAAACGAAATGCATATTCGAGGATTCTTACAAAAAATGAATACCTTTATGTACTATTATTTTTGAGAGCTTTGATTACTTTGCTGATAAGAGAGAGAGAGAGGGGGGATAAATTGCAGTAAATCTGCTTACGTAATACTTGAACAGCCAAAGCCAAATAGTCCATTAATCCGGAGACCAAACCCACGACCCTTAAATAAGAGTCACTACCAACACTGCTCTCAACGACATATTTGATTGACTGACACGGTTTGTTTTCTGTGTCTACAAAAATTTAATTCAAAGTAATGCAAATCCTATCAGATAGCTTAGATTAGCGCGTCCAAATTCAGCATCCTTTTTATTATGCTTAATAAAGTTCTTTCTTTTGATTGTTCAATTCTTATATTATTTATATCGTACATATCATATCATACTTTATTAAATATATATCAACTACAGTGTCTCACGCAAATAATCATTTATTGAATAATACATTTTTTCCAAAAGTAACACACCAAGTCGATTTTTATAAACTCTAGTCTGAAGATCTTTTATATTCTTTTGGTAATTTTAATTTATATTTACTGGCAATACTTATATCCATGACAGCAACGCTCTCACCGGCCAAGAAAAGTACATGGCACTGTAGCTAAACAGTTCAATTTAATAAATACCTTTCTTCGTCATCATCAGTATTGGTATTCTTCATGAGAGTACTTATGGCTGCTATGAAGTTGTAAACCACTTTCGCTTCCAAGTACACCTGAAAACGTTCAAAAGTATGATTGAGATTTTTATGTATTACCCATAAACACACATTTGTGTATTCAATGATTTTATCGAACCCTGGTCTTGTACCCGCATAAATAAAAAGGATTTATTTAAAAACTGAATTAAAGAAATAATATGTCGTGTCTAATTGCTGATTCACAATTTCTTTCAGACAAATCAAATATATTATGGATGGAATACTATAAAATACTAGTGGACCCCACAGACGTTGTCCTGCATGATATTTAAAGCGATTAGGATATTAAGCAAAGTATGAAAGTACCGACTGCAGTGCCAGCTGCCGGGCTGATTTGTGAATCTAAGACCATGTCCCAGATCCCTTGAACACACACAAAAAAATTCATCAAAATCGGTCCAGTCGTTTAGGAGGAGTTCAGTCACATACACACGCACACAAGAAATATATATATTAAGATATACTCCGAATCAAAAAGTCACAATTACAATAATATTGCAATGCAAGTACAAACTCAAAATATCTTTATTCATATAGGTAAACAAGTACACCTATGAATCGTCAAAGAGAAGTTAAATTAATTGTAAATTTACATTTAATACCAGTTTGCAAGTCAGGGGCGTCGAGCGGGCAAGAAGAACTGGCAAAAAACTTTCCGCCACTCTTTTAATCGCCAAGTATTGTCGTACAAATATATTGTATTGAACTTGATAAACAAAGTTACGGTTTTCATCAATGTTAGTAATTAAGTTGTAAGAGCGAGATAGCCTGTTCACTAGACCATTAAATGTACCACATATATTTTATTATTATTTTTTTTAATTTAAAAAAAATATCTATAGCGATATTCGTATATAATAAAAATACTCACATCTTGTATATTGAGCAATGTGTGTCTGGGCAAAGAGTGAGATAGCGATGGTAAGGCGAGCAAGGCCGCCACGGCGCCGCAAACTCTGGCGCCTTTGCTGCCTCTAGCCGCACTCCCTACCACTCCCACCACCATACTCACCTGGAAATTATACAAAAATCTTTTTAAATATATAAAAATGGAGATCGTAAACTGTCGAAGGGCCTCAATTCAATGTAATGATGGAGGAAGGAAGGTGTACTGATCCTCCAGAATCAAAAGGAAGGATCCTCGACCAGTCTAAAAACTGACTGGCCCGAAGGCCCCACCCAAGTAAGGTCCAGAAATTGTATATATCCTTAGTCGGAATAACTTTGTTAGCACGTTTCAGGGTATTACGTCATCGCAGTGATTTGTAAGAGCAGATTTAAGATATGGCATGAGAAATAAAACATAAAATACTCGTTAAATTGCATTCAATTCTTAAAAATTCTTTGTAGGCGGGTAAAACCATAATTAGAAATAATCATCGCATATAATTAGAGTATTAACAGCGTATATATAGAATTTAACCTAAATAGAAAATAGCGAATTGTGGAATCGGCTTCCGGTCTTCCCTCAGAGATGCGACCTCCAAATGTTTAAAAAGCGACTCTACTCCTCCCTCAAAGGCCGGCAACGCACCCACTAAAAGTGGGTGTCTATGGGCTGCGTAGACTGCCCTTTTTGGTCGTCCCGCAAGCTCGTTTGGCCCCTTATTATATAAAAAAAAATTGCGCCATCTGTTGGAATCTTGTAAAATTTTCCTAACACGTTCGAACAAAACGTTTTAAGATATTTGTTTCTCAAAAACAACATTACAACATTCACTTACTAATTTAATAATACATTACGATTATTAATAATTTGTATATTACAATAGTAAAAAACAACAGCAGGCTTCTTGTCTTATTAAATAAAATAGCCACAATTACAAGATTTTTAACAGTTAAACAACGACAATGAATAATAAATCTATGATTTATGGTCAGTCACGCCAAACGTCTCTTAAAGGTCTTATTAAGTGGCAGCTAGGTGAGGGGTACCGGGTTCGATTCCCGGTTCGAGGGCAAGTTTTAATTTAATTTAAATTTGTTCTCGGCCTTTGGGAGGGTTGTGCGGTACCGGGCGAGTGCTTAAACCGTACATGGAAGACACGGTCGAATTTTTAAGGCAAGCACGAATTATAAAAATCTTATACTTGACGCTGGCTAATGCACAAACCGTGCCAGAGTCATAAAGGAAAAAAAAGGCGCCAACTATGTCGTCAGTTGTCACCGAAGGCAGGGTATTAAATAGTTGCGCTCCCTCAATCGTCAGCATACTCTTGACGTAATTTTAACGAGTTTAGATAATGCTCGCCTAGTCACTTGACTACGTTTTTTTTTTGGTATTAATATGAATATTTACGGTTGTTACGACTTTATAAAAAAGACATGATATTTGAATTAATTTTGTTCTGTTCCATGTTGTGTTCCATGATTAAAGTGGAATAAAGCTTGTCATATTTATATAAACCCTCAAAAGGAACTGTATAGAAAATAAAATATTGGTGGAAATAAAATAATTGTAAAAAGTGTTACCATATTCAACTGCGTCAATGATTCGACGTCTCCCTCCATAACCTCTGTGATATTTGAGTTCAAAAATGCCTCCCATTCTTCCAGTTCTATAGAGGATGGCTCTTTAAGTTCTGAAAAACACGAACAATAGATGAGAAAATCATAAAATATCATTAATAGAACCCAGTCTATGATATTATGTTATATTTGGACAGTTTAACAAACCGTTTAACCAGGGAAAACTTTTCAATTTTCTACTCGGTGTTACGGTGATGGAAAACATCACGAGGAAACCAATATTACTACTACTTACTACTTTTATTATTATTAACCACAGCAGGCTGATGATTTATTTGCCTATTAATAAAATTATATAGATAACTAAATCTAAAGTTTTTACACCAAAGTGCCAAGTTTGTAGCGGCCCTGTATTTTTAAATATCAAGATTGTTTTATTATTACTTTTGTATAATTGTAACGTCTAGTTACTTCGTCTTATCTATTAAAATATAATTTACAATGCATGAAAGTTAAAATAATAAAAACCTCCCGTTAAATTATTTTTATTATAAAAAAAATAAACTTTGTCAACCTATCAACATAATATCCTTATTATATACAATCTCCAGAAATACGTGGATTATCTCAAAAACTACTGAACCAATTTCGATGAAACTTGAACTGTTATACAAGGTCACACCTACATTTTACGGCGATGACGTCATACCCTGAATGGCGAAAACTTATGCCACCCGCTGAGCGTATAGAACGACCTTAGCCACTGTGGCCTTCGAACCAGTGCGCTTCGACTGGTCGTGGGAGTATCCCTTTAGGACAGGAAAAGCTGAATTTTGTTGATCCTCCATAATGTATTATAAATATGGAACTCACCTTCTTGATTCTCTTCATGCTTTATGTTATCATTATCAGCGATATCCTTATCATCCCCCGTTTCCTCTATTACTTCATTTTTCTCTACATCCTCGTCTTTATCCTCTTTCGAGTATTTGCTTCTATCTGTATGTTCTATTGTTGGTTCGCTCGTTCTCCGTTGGGATTCCTTATTTTTGTCTAAACTCCTACTAAAGTGGAATGATCTCTTAATACTCCTGGTCAGTCTGTTTCCACCGCTTCCAAATCTCAGCTTATCTTTAGAGAATTGTAATAACTTCTGCTTATACGACGGAGGCACACTTTTACTGAGACCCGCGCTAACGTCAACATTTGAACTTTTTGGATTCTCTAAGCTCTGTGATGCTGTGCTTCCTTTACTTTTCCCTTTAACTTCATCTCTCTCTTTTGTTTCTATCTCTTCTCTGTCTCTTGTTTCTTTCTCTTCTCTGTCTTTTGTTTCTTTTTCTTCTGCAATCATTTCATTGTTCGCCATGAGTTGGGCGATGTTTCTTTCCAAGTTACACACGACGAGGTTAGAATTGTTCATAACATGGAATTCGTGCCTCAGTAGTTTCGCGTTGGTCGCCGTTATTGGTTGAGACTGGTCTTCATCGTCAGTTTTGAGACTGTCTCTAACACTGAACGCACTCGTTGCTCGTACGCTGTCATCATCAGACATTGGCACACATTCTAGTGCCTGAGCACCACGCATATTTCTTAGATCGTGGCCTTCTGGTTTTGTTTGAGCGTGAGTTTTGGCCCTGAAATTCAATAACATTCAATATTGTGATTCTAATTCTATGTAATTGCTCTAGGATATTTTCTATACTACTAGAATATTCTCAATTCAGTTTAATAATTGTAATGTTCATGTTTAAACGAGTATGTTTGAATAGTATAACTGTTACGTTTTTCTAGTCGTGCGCAATTCCATACTTTAAAATGTTTACACAGTATGTGTAGAATCATTCTGTAAATTAATGAAAACTCTTTGGTGACATTTAAAAAAAAATAACTATCATGTGACATTTTCATATAACAACTGATAGGATGTCCAATACTGAAATTTTGTTACTTTATTTTTGATTTAAAACATCACACATGTTACAAGGAGGACAAAACATTATGAATATACAATAGGAAGGTGAATTCTGTGACTATAACTTGAGAACTAAAAAGATGCAGCGTTTACCAGATCCATGCAACTTCCCCACAATCGAGTAGCCCGAAATATCTCAATATAATGACATTAAATTCTCAATTTATATATTAATAATAAAGTCTGTCATAATGGATTTATTTTGAAATTTTTAATATATGATATAATTTAAGGTGAAATAGTTTAGCACTCACTTAGTACATTTGCTTATTTTCTCAGTTTGCAAAAACTTTGCTTCCTGTTGACTATAAGATAATGGTTTTGTGAATGGCGAGTCACTTTGAACATCTTCTGGGAGGATGAGAATGTGGCCCTTCACAAATGGGTGTTCTAGGATTTCTGGCCAAGTCATCCGCTTTACCGGGTCTTTGTGCAACAAACCCTGTGAAAGATTAATTAAAAAATTTGAACGGGAAAAAAGCCTGTGGCTGCCATAATAGGCCATTACCACAGCCCATGGATACACATATTATATGTGGATGCATTGCCGGGAGTCTTTCAGGGAGGAACATATTTTTTTTTTAATAGCTGAACGTTGTCTCTCCTTGGGAAGACGTCCACAGTGAAGGATTCTACAATTCACTAGAATATGAATATTTAATTAGAATTTTGTACTCTATCTTAGTTCTAACAATTAGAGAAAGCAGTCAAAAATTACATTTAATAGGTAGCATATATAACATAAATAAATTATTAATTTTTTACTGTAGAGGGTAAGGTCTGGAATGAATTTCTATATTGATACAACTATGCAATTATAAGTAAAAAATTCCATGAATATATTTAAAGATTTTTTTTTAAAAGTTACCTGCAAGAATGATCTAGCATCAGGACTTATAAAACTTGGCCACTGCACAGGTTTATGTCTTATCATCCTGACTAGCTGCCAAATAGACATAGTGCAAAATGGTGGTTGTCCGGCCATTATTTCATATACAATACATCCGAGTGACCATAAATCTGCCTGGAAATATATGGTACCAAAATCAATAACTTAATACATACCTGAATAGATTTTTAGTCTTACATTAAAAGGTCTTAATGGTTAAGATACATGACATATTACCTAGAAACAATATTTATTTTAAGGCCATCTATCTGACTCTATCATTATCTAATCTCTACATGCAAGTAGTAAATACATATATTTATACCATCAAAATAAGTCTTGTGAAAAAAGGACAGAATTTCATCACAAAATTATATTACATTAATATTGATAACACTTTTTGTTTAATTTTTTTTAAACTTATTTGAAAGTTATTGTAAATTATTTACAAATTTTGTTATACCTGATGATCATAAGGTTTCTCATCAATTAATTCAGGTGCCATATAAAGTGGTGTTCCTTTTATAGAGGTAAGAATGTGAGTTGCATTAGTCATAATACGGGCAAGTCCAAAGTCACACAGCTTTGCCCGCCCAGTACTATCTAACAGTACATTTTGTGGCTTGAGATCTCTGAAATGTAACCAACATATAAAGAAGCCTTCGCATTTGGGACCTAAAGGACCAAATATGATAATTCTGACATAATATTTTCTATCAGTAGGTATGCATGGATCAGAGGACTGATAACATACTCACCTTGAAATGATTATTAATTACCTCTTGATTATAGAACTTTAAACAAGAATTTAAGAGTTCCTTTGATTTAAATTAACCCAATTATTCTTATGACAGGCAACATGCTATAGTCAGTTAATAGGCACCAGAATATAATTTTATACCTAGAACCTTACAAGATGAAAGAAAACTGGAATTTAAAACCACTAGCACAACATGTAAAAATTATGATTTAATTAAGATATTTAATATTTTTTTAATTAGCACTAGAAAGATAATTATTGCTTAAAAAATTATTAATTAAATATTGACCCTACCTGTGAAGAACTCTGTGAGAATGTAAATAGTATAGTGCTGAAACCAAATCCCATGTTATTTTCTTTGCTTGGTCCTCATTCAGACAACCTTCTTTTGCAAGTATACTATGTAATTCTTTTTCTGCATATTCTGTGACCACCACAAGTTCGGATTCAGTATCAAAACTATCTATCATGCGAATAATATTTGGATGATTTAATTGTCTTTGAATATCACATTCTTGTCTTAAATTTTTAAGATCTTTCGATGATCGGCCTTTCTAAATTTTAAAATAAAAAATATGTTACAAATATTTGTGTGAAATTAGCTAGAAGTAATGCACTAGAAGATAAGAATATCATAACTTACCTTTCGTATAACTTTTAGTGCTAGTACAGCATTAGTTTCTTTCTGTTTTGCTTTGAAAACTCTCCCAAATGATCCTTCACCAATAAACGATATTACAATATAGTTTTCCATGGAGGAAATTTTTTGTCAGTCAACAAACGAAATGCAAACCAAAATTTTCAGTTTGTTATTGTTGACAAAGCATTCTTCGTATTTACTGATTAATTGTTTTGATTTTTAATTTGTATGAACTTATTTCCAACTTTTTACTTTGCTGAAAGTTTTTGTTTGTTTACCATAGAATGGTGCACAGACTAATCATGCATTCCTTTTTTTTTTTGGAGATTATGGCCTGGTATCTAGACTTTTAGGCAAAAATAATGCATTTCCATAGTTCCATACCATAGAATATACAAACAGAATGCTATTTATAAAAAAGATAATTTCGACTTTCTAGATACATTAAACGACGAAAATTATGAAACCTATAAAATCCCATAAAATAATATAATTACAGTATAAAAGTATATACATATTGGAAATAAAGGTTTTTAAAATATTTTAAGGGAAAAGTTGGATCATGTACTTTGCATATTTGTACAATGCAACATATATTTATATTAGTTGTAGAAAAGTATGGACTGAAAAATGTTAAACAGCGTAAGTGCGCTTAGTAAATATTAACCACCGCACCAAAGATGTCACTGAAAAGCATTTTTAAGCAGTGTTGAACTTAAGCCTGCTTTTCATAAACCTAAGGTCGTGGCTTCCAATGACGGCTTTTCAGTTTTGGATTATTCTTGGTAATTGCGAATTTAATTCTCACTCGTAGGGTTCACCCTAAAAAAATCGCGAGTATACCGCCTTAGACGGAAAAAGTCGACGACGTGAGTCGAGCACAGAAGGCTCATCACCGACTTGCCTATTCAGAAACATAATCATAAAACAGATACGATAATATAAGGCCGACACCTAGAAGGTCGTAGCGCCACTGGTTTTTCAGTATAGATTGGTAAAATTATAAAAAATATCGTCCTCGACTCACGTTTTGTCTGATTTGCTACTATAATAACATAAGGTACGCAACTTTGAATTTTGAGTATTTTTGTTAGGTATATTATGACTGAAGGCGATGCTTCTCCAAAGGCGCTTTATTACAGCGTGCACCAATACAGATTTTTGTAGGAAAATTTGCTATTGTAAATAACATAAACACTTCATCATAAGGCAAATAAAGTGTTTTAACTACAACAAAACCAGCTTTAGATAAATTCACGGACAATACGTAACACGTCTGTCATACATTTATAGTCTTCGCGTTATTTTCCCACATAAAAGCATTGAGAAATTGATTTAAAGAGTTACTTATTATTAAGCCTCTATTGCTGACACCCAGTATATTAATTATATTAACACTTATTTAAGTTACATAACTTAACTTAATCTAAGATATCATATGACCCGTTTTTGGTAATCGGCGTGTCCTGTGAGTTGTGACACATAGGCCTCTTTCAGCTTCCATTATTTTCTGATCTTCTTGTCCAACTTGTGCCTCCTATTCTCTTTAATTCGTCTGCCCATCTCTTACTCTCTCTTCCTCTTTTCCTTTTTCCACCGCGTGGTTGCCAGTCTGTAATAACTTTTTTCCATTTCAACCGGTTATCTCTTGTCATATGCCCGGTCCAGCGCCATTTCAATTACCTTATTTTCTTTATAACGTCCTATACTTTGGTCGTCTCATCTTATCTCTTCTGCTCTTTTTCGATGTCTCAGTGTTACACCCACCACCATTCCTCATTAACTTTAAAAGATGTTTCTGAGATAATGCCCAAGTCTGGCAGCCGTATGTCACACATGGTAAGATACATAAATTGAACACCTTTTTCTTGGCTAGCATTGGTCTTTACTTTTAAGTACTTCCTTAAGGGACCAAAATCTCCAGGCGCAAGACACTCTTCTTTCTCTCTCAAGATCTGTTTGGTCTTTAAATGATATTATATGCCCTAAATATACGTAGTGATCTACATATTCGATAGCATCTCTGCCTATTTGTATAGTAATAGTTTCCCTATTCGTCATTATTTTCTTTTTAGATTTATTCATGGAAAGCCCAACCAACTTGCTTGCTTCTGTCAGCTGTTGCAGCATAGTTTGAAGCGTTTTTGTTATCTGAAATGAACATTAAATCGTCTTCGTAACTTAGGTGGTTAAGTTGTCTGCAGTTAATGTTTATGCCGACATTATCCCATTCCAAATTGCTAAATATTAGAAAGTAAGTAGGTATATATTATAAAATATTAGTATAGGTAGTAAATATTTTAAAGAGTTACTGATACGTACAAGTGAAAATGTATTTACAGTACAATAATGGAAGGTTTAGCTGAATGAATTGTAAATAAAATTACTTTGAGAAAACCGCAGTTTTCGATGAATAAAATAGTTTTTAGGAACATTATATTTTTATAGATGAAACAGTAGCCAACAGCTGATGTTATAATATTTATAACATCGCCGTCATATTCGTAAGATCTCAAAATATTAAACTCCGTGAATCGTTGCCGCTCAATAATGTCAGAATGACATTCTTCCTGCCAATAAAAATAAATATCTGCCAATAGACATCTTTACAAAATTATTATTTAAACATAATATTCATTTTTAAATAAATATTAGTTACACTAATGTTGATTTTATTGAAGTATTATGAACTTTTCATTTGTCGAGTGCAAACATTTATAAATATAAATCCAACAATGTTGTTTATATTTGTATGTCTGTTAGCTTTTGACAGGTTCCAACAGTAAAGGATTATTATTATGAATTTATGTAGACGCGAAAGTAGATAGTGACAATCATATTATAATTAAAATGATTATATATATACGACAAAACTTAACCATTAAAAAATATATTATACAAATTATTTAACAAACTAAAATTAGGAACTTAGCTACTTCATTTTTGATCTCTTGATGGGGTAATTATCGTTGTGAATAATGGCATTTTGTTAAAACATGTATTTTACAAACAAAAAAATTATAGGTCATTCTCTATATTTTATTAATATAATATAATTTTATTTACAATTGTTTATTTAAGAGCTCAATCAACAGGATTATATCGCTTTATTTTCTATACATATATATTATATAATAATCTATATATACTAAATCAATTAAAAATTTTGTTTCCTCTGAATCTTAAAGTATAAGATAATATTAACTTATTTAACACCTTGCAATTCTCTAAGCGCCCAATTCCGAAAAAAACGTTTGATATTCATTCCATATGAAACCCCAAAAAACATAATTGAATCTACTCATGTGGAATTGGAGTACAAGATGGAGTTGCGATTCGCCATAATGTACTAAGCTAATTTTAAATCAATACATTGTAATACTATCGTGAACCGACGTATATCGACACACAAAAATGTGTGGTGTACGAGATTTGTTAATGCTTTGTTGTCTATCATCTATTTATACATTTATTCAGCAAGCAGCTGTAGGTTATAAAGCTGAGAATCACGGACAATAAATACCTACCAACCGGGCCGCATTTATTTCGTTCAAACATATTATTTCACAGCCGTGCACATTCTGTAAACAAATGAACGATGTGGGCGTGGTATGTGGACATTATGGTTGTAAACATTTTTGTTTAATTAAAACAATATGTAACACTTTTTATTGGGTTTATAGATTTGTCTGTCTAGTGTCTATTTTACAAAACAAGAACATTTTTGCTTTGTAAAATTGAATGCAAAATCTGTGTAAGAATAAATGTTTGATTTATGTTTTCATCAGTCTGTATTATTTTACTAAGATGACAGTATTAAGATAATTAATTAACATAGAGCAGAGTTGGCTTAGTGGCTTCAGCGTGCGACTCTCATCCCTGAGGTCGTAGTTTCGATCTGCTGTACATCAATGGACTTTCTTTGTATGTGAACATTTAAGATTCGCTCGAACGGTGAAAACATCGTTAGGAAACCGACATGTCTTAGACCCAAAAGGTCGACGGCGTGTGTCAGGCACTGGAGGCTGATCACCTACTTGCTTATTAGATTTAAAAATGATCATGAAACAGATTCAGATATCTGATGCCCAGACCTAAAGAGGTTGTATGGCCATTGCTTTATTTTAAATTAACATTGTCAAATTAAACATTTGTACTGTCACTAAATATTTTTCAATTTAAATAACTTCTTCGTCCAGTTTGTTTTATTGGTTTTAGTCCTTTCACAAAATATTATTATCACTTTTCTCTGGTCATATGGAATGTGACATATTGTTTTATTTAGCCTAGTTAAATACGTAATCGGATATAAAAACTTTATAGCTAGTTACAGCTACACTTACAGATTGATTTATTACAACTGCACTATTTTTATTGGCGTAGTGCTTTGGGTGAGCAAATTTGCGAAAAATTCCGTTCCAATCTGTTACAGAAAACTTTCCACTCAATTTGTTTTATATCTAGATAAAATCTAAGACATGACCTATTTTTTTTATTTATGGGTTTTATAATGTGTAAAATAGCTTACCTATTCCTCATATTTCAGTTTCAGTAGCCGGTAATAAAGGTGCGACTGTCAACTGTCATTAGATGTGAACTAGTTTTCATTTATTATTTTTTTCCGCAAACTTTCTTCTACTAGGCAAATTCTGGCCAAGTTACATGACGATATAATATTAAGGATAAGCATAGTAATATGATAATAGATAATATATATGAGTGTTTTAATATTTATATTTGACAGATTTTGTATTAAGTGTTTACGTTCTGGCTCGCAGGCTGTATTAACAAATATTATCAAATCATAAACAACGTAAATACAATACAACATAACTTTATTCTAATAACGACTGAATGTGTTGTATCTATGGTTATGTAATAAATTATTTAAAAGAAAAAATATTCTGAACGTGTTTTAATCTGCGTCATATTAAGAAACTTCTAAACTACAATAGTTCATTAAATCGTAATTTAATTAAAAAAATTATCTTTAACAATAAATCAAATAAAAAAATCTGGAGTCTTCGATTCTACTCCCGACTAGACTATTCATAATTGTTTGGCGTTGGTACATTTACTTCCCTGAAAATAAAAATAAAGGAAAATAATTTCAGAAAATTTCAAAGTTATTTTTTAATACAAAAGAGTAATCTGTATATTGTAGGAATTCATGTAACGATTTGCATTGTAGTAAATACGATTTCGGTCATGCACCCAGAGTTCGTGTAACCGTTACACCAAACGACTATACAGCAAGCAGCTACTATGCCACGTTGTAAAACTTTTCAATGAAGTATAAGGCTTACAAATCGAGGTGTTTACTGTTTACGTTTACACCACGTTTTCGACTAAAAATATGTTCGCATCCTGCCGTTTGAGGCTCACGCGATTGGCTCACGCAGGAAACCGTGGAGCTGGCCCCTCCGCCCCCGCGCCACATTTTATGTGAAATCCCCGAAAGACTACAGAAAATAACCCTGAACGCTGGAATTAAGAGATTTCAGGCCAGTCGTGTTGTGCGTCTCAAAGTGGTAACTAGTGATATCAACATGGTTCTGGACACTGAAGATTGGGTAGGTATTTTGTAAATTTGAATAAATCCCGTATCGGACCTTGTATTTTTCAACATTTTCATGAATAAATGTGGGAAGAAACTGTATTTCTTCGCTTATGCAAATCACACCGACAATTGTGTTAGTTAATTAATGAAGTATATAAATTCTAATTGTAATTAGTTTAGTAAATAATCTTTTACCGTATCCCTTTCATGGGTTTTATTATAATAGTAGTAGTATCTATTCGACATTCATTAATCATAGACCTATATTATATGGTAAATATAATCTATGGTCAATTTGTAAGCTAAGAAAAAGCAGTCTATGCTCCAACCAAATTGTAGAACTATATTATATAAATAAGCTACATCAAGTCCAAGAGTAAGTAACGAAATTCCCGCGCATGATAAAAATATAGACTATACTAATTTATAAATAATATCTATGTATTAATTTGCTGTTTCAACTTGCCGACTGCTCCCAGCGTCATTAATATGTACAACAACGTAGAAAATTATGACAAATTACCAACGCATTAAATTATTTTATAATAAAATTATTAATGTTAAAACTGGTGATCATATAAGACATATCTGAAAATGATATACCTGGTAACATTATTATTTCAGCAGGGTCAGTATTTTATACTTTCGACTTCTCTTACGCTCGATTTATGTTCGGGATTCTTAAAATTTATAACATTTTCCAAACATGGCACGAAATATTTTACTTAATATTCAATTATAGTTACTAGTGTTATAATATAGCAATTTTATAATGAATATGGCTTTTGCTTTTGAAGTTAAGAATCGAAAAGGCGTTTATAGGAAAATATCTGCTTCATTTGTCGTTTTGATAAACTACGCCAAACTTTACATCTATGTGTAGTAATTTGCTTATATTTTAATTAACTTCAGATTTACATGAGATTAATTATAATAGTATAAAAAGCGGCTCAAATAAATTCCTCGTATCAATATATCCAGAAAGAAAAACTTTATTACACATAATAAGGAAACCTTACACTAAGATTGCCTGTGTCGTGGGTTTAGAAAGAAAACAGACATAAAACGTAATAACAAAGCTAAAATATAGCGGCCTCATAGCCTAGCGGTCTTATTAAGTGGCAGCTAGGTGAGGGGTACCGGGTACGATTCCCGGTTCGAGGGCAAGTTTTAATTTAATTTAAATTTGTTCTCGGCCTTTGGGAGGGTTGTGCGGTACCGGGCGAGTGCCTAAACCGTACATGGAGGACACAGTCGAAGTTCTAAGGCAAGCACGAATTATAAAAAATCTTATACTTGACGCTGGCTAATGCACAAACCGTGCCAGAGCCATAAAAAAAAAGCTAAAACAATCTTTATTTTTGAGATTAGTTGTAAAACAGTGGCCTTAAAACCTCTATAAAAATATATGATCGTTTTCAGACAATTATCATATACTTGGATCCAAGTCAATATAGTTAATTATATCTTTTTACTTCCAGGCTGATGAGCTCCCGCCAGAACAGATTGCCGGTAAGATACAGTTTTTTATAATACAACTACATACAACGACAAAATATGATTTTAAAACATGTGTAAGATAAGACTGATCTAATTTAGTAATTAAACAATTTTTTTTATTGAAATTAACTACGCTACCATTTTATTTTTTATCAGCTAAAAATACAAAAATTAGTACAATACAATTATTGTTTACAACTGCACAATAAAAAATATTTGGATAAGAGCCAAGAGTTAATAGACCGCGTGGATAAATCTTCTTACTCATAGTGAATTAATTTTTCAATTCGTGAATATTTATATAGTTCGCTCGAAATATCTGAAAGCAATTGGAAGAGGCGTAGCTCTTGAAGAGTAATTAGGACACGATACCAGGTTAACAGACACACCCTCGACTTGATTTATACTACTATGTATAATTAATAATTGTGTGTGGTATGTCATATCAGCTGAGAACATTTTATTATTATTTATTTATATGTACTTGGATACATTAAAAGAAAAACAAATAACATAAAAATTATATGGGATGCAACGGGCTGACTTATCACTGAGAAGCGATCTCTTACAGGCAACCTTAGTAAGGAAAAGACTTAAAAAATTATATTAAGGGAAAAGTGCGTAACCAAATCAATAAAAACAAAATTAAAAGTAAAACTGAAAAATTATAAAATTACAAAACATAATCTAAAATAATACAAATAAACTAAAAGTTAATCTCCATTCTTCAAAAAAATTCATTCACATAAGTTATTTCAATCAAATGTCTCTCGCTGACGATAATTGTATTGTTGAAGTGCGTAATTCCTATGTAATCAAAAACGTTCTATTTATAATCTACCCCATATCAAACTTCGCGCAGATGCCAGTCAAGTCCAACTACCCACTTGGTTACGATGAAATGTTATTCAAGAGAAGCAAAAACCTAACAGAACCTGCAAAGGGTTATATAGCGCCATTGTTTGTGTATTTTATCTGCAAATCGTCTAATTAGTTTTTGTCATAACTATTTTAATTCATATTCTGTTATTATGAAAATTGGCATACTAGCAAACAAAAGGATTTGTTTTGAAACAAAATAAAAATTATAACATTAATTACACAGTTTTCTAGAAAAATCACATGCGTCAATTTACCGACTGATTAATTTTAAATTTAAAACACATGGAATTTTTTTTCTAATGTAGCCGTAACATTTAGTCAATGTAGTATCCAAATATGATAAAAAGTGGATTTTGGTTTTTTTTTCAAATCCGACATTGTTCTACGATCATGACGAAATATAGCGCAAAACTTATTTTCTTGATATTTACAGCGTTCAAGCTATAAAATACTGACTAAACATTTAAGAAACGTAAACATAGTCAATATTGAATTTCGTATCGAATATGTTTAAACGTTTCTTTCCTCGGCTGTCATGTCGTGTCGAGTGACGTTTCGGTAGATAAATGATCTATCATTCAGTTTTATAAATTATACAAGAAACATTTGTTAAATTGGTTTTTAATTTACGATAATAAATGCTTACAATTTGGTTTTACTGTTATTAGTTAAACCGAAAAAACAACACTAGTTTTAATGAATCGCATTAAATTGTCTTTTGTGACCATACATTCAAGAGCTTCTGGACTTTATATGGTTTTAAAATAAATGTAAACTTATTTTAATCACATTTGATACTTACCAAAGAAAGCTTTTAATCTTAAAATTACTTTAATGACAGATAAATTAGGCTTGGAAATAAGTACGAGATCAAGTATCACCGGTGAAAGTGTTGGTAAATTGATTCCATCCTTATTTTTTAATATGTAGATTTTCCATATGCCTATTAATAATTATTTTTAATTTATAAAGCAACAAAACACTTATCATTTATCAACAGCCTAGCCTTTTAATATCTATCTCTAATATAATACTATGTTATGTTTATTTATAACATGCAGAAAAACCCGTAACAATTATTTTGAGGGAGCCCTGGAAATCGAAGTTACACGTCATGTGGCTACAGAGACTGTCATGTCAATGTCAAAATTCTATCAGATAAAAACTTGTATAGTTGAATACTAGTCAATAAATTCAAAAGATTCGTATTCATAAAAGTGTAATAAGCAACTGCCAACAAATATAAAATGGCTGAGAAGGATTGTGGGAGTTAGTAGAAGAAGGTGGTGAACATTAAAGGTTATATGTATTTTAATGCGAACAAAAAATAAAATATGTTTATGGTCTCTTAATAAAAATAACTTACGACCTCAGACCCACCGCACAATATGTTAAATAGGTCATGCTGTTTTAGAAGAGTTTGGTGACACACGAGGTATTAAGAATAAAAAAATTCAGGTTTTCGACAGGTCTACATTAGTATTGAGTGATGTAAAGATTAATACTTTTTTTCAACCAGACTCGTTCATAGAAGACTTAAAATCCATAGAGAAAAAAAATACATTTTACATTTATTTGCGAAGTCAAACTAAAGGACATTCACTAGCAGTGCGAGGACGATTATGAATAAACGCTTTTTAACGAATGTTAAGGGAATCATTACTGAAATATCAAATGCTCTATAATAAATCGAGCTTCACAATATACAGTTTCTTCGGTACGTTGGCAACCGTCCAGCCATGTTGCCACGCCATGACCCGTTTCACACCGAACCTAATGTTATTACAAATAACAAACTTAAAAGCTCTTCATAAATTACACGAAACGAATATAATGTCTGTATATAATATTTATCTTGTGTAAATCGAATGAGGTCAAAGAAATCTAAAATAAATATGATAAGTAGAAAAAGTTTTTGATCATTTGTGGTCATAGACAAGCGCTCCACATAGTCTAAAAATGATTCACAAAATACCACAGCTTAAAAATTAAACAAAATACAGTTCAACAAATACACAGTTTTGCCATATTATAATTATTAATTATGTTTTATTTTGACCAACCATATGTATGATAATATTTAAATAGGCAAAACGTGATATGACAGAAATTAATTTTACCCTCTGTTATTTGACTAAGATAAAGGTTTTAAAGTTTCATATGTAATTGTATCATTAATATGAGAACTTTCCGCGAATCTTAATTTCCTGAAATTAAAAATATTATGTTAATTATTGACACATGACAACTTAAGCTATCAGTAATTGTCAACTGGAGAGTGACAAATACGCCCTAAGCCAGATTTGTCTCAATTCACATAACGTCTGGCTTCATTAATCATATCCTTGCATATAACACCTATGTTTTGAACACTAAATTTTGCCAAATGCATATATATGTAGGTCACTTCAATAAGTTGCATTTAGGTAATAGTAATTCGTAGGTTTATTAAGAATTGTATTGTTTATAAATTTTACATCAAAATATTTGTAGACAAAACTACAGACTAGACATTCTAGACGCTTGGTAGGCTGATCATTAAAAAAAAGCGTTGTTAAGTAATGAGGTACGTAATCCTCATTAAATTAATTTTATTCTTCTTTGTACGAGTAATTTTTGTTTTTTTTGTAAATTTTATACGTAGGAACTATAATTGTCATATCTTTAGATTCTGTAGACAGTTTTTTATTTATTTATATTCATCACATATATTGTAATATATATGAGGTACTTGAAATAAATAAATAGATACACAAGGATAGGTGTTACAGATTTGTTTTATTTGTACTTCGTTTCAAGAAATACAATTAAATAATAACAATACTGGCGGCCTTTTCGATTTCGACCAATCTCTTCCACTGTGTGAAAGATGTGGAAGCGCAAGAAGTGGCAAACTACATAAAATATACAATAATTTTGACATAAAATTATTTATATGTTTTGTTATAGAATTTAGTGTCGAAATTTGTTTTTACTTTTTAATTTCAAAGATTCATGTATTATGAGAATAAAAATGTTGTGATTTATATATAGGTACGTTACTTGGTATGTTATTATTGCTTTAATTAAAACTGTATATTTAAATTTAACAGATACAGACATTTATGAAATATTTACATAACGCGTTTCGAGTACTTTAAACATTTGTGGCCAACAACAGACTCTCAGACCGTTGAAGAATATATAGTATTCAAGTAAACCAATAAAAAATAATTCAATCTTTGAAAATCGGACTTTCTACGCCAAAATACGAAAAGATTCAACCAAAATTAAAGTTTCAGTAAACCATAAAGCTAATAAAGTTACCAGCAACTTTTCTAAATTTAGAGAACATAAACTCAACTGACGCAGACGTTCCCATTTCGAAATAGGAGCGATCGTGGGATGATAATTAATAAACAGCTAAAATCTAGAAAAAATCGCAATAAACCGCACAACTTTGAGACAACTGCCAAGATATCTTGATAAAAATGAATCCGGCGTGAGAGATAAAATTCAGAATGTGTTGCCAGAATATAATATATGACAGCTGTTCGTTTAGTCTCGATTTCAATCTTTCAAATTACACGAAATGTTTGTAAAATTAAAGGTGAAAATTATCATTTTTAAAATGGTTGACGTCATTGGTTCCCATGAATCATTTTAGGTTGAAAAAACCCTTCAGTATTTTTAGCCGTAACGAAATCTATCAACAAACTCCATACTGTTATATCGAAAGTGTTGAGCTTATTTTAATATCATGACGCACGCTGAATATAATATTCGCAAATTACGATTTTATTACAACCAGTTGCCAGAGTAATAAGTTGTCATGTAGCGAGTAATAATTCATGATTATTAATTTTCTTTTATCTTTTATAGACTATTTAACCAGATGGCTGATATTATAAATGTTATTATGAAACGCCTCAAATAAAACTTTTGATCTTTTACCTCATAGTTACCATTTTTAAAATAAATTAAGTCACAATAAATTAAGTACATTCATGTTCCACAAATAATTTCAAAGGACATAATTTTGTTGAATAATATTTATAACACAACATTTAGCTGTGTTGGCCAAGTGGCTTCAGCAACTCTCATCCCACAGGTCGTAGGTTCGATCCCCGTCTTAACCAATGGACTTTCTTTCTATCTTTAACATTCGCTTGAACGGTGAAAGAAAACATCGTGATGAAAGCGTGTCTTAGACCCAAAAAGTCGACGTCAGATGTCAGTCACAGGAGGCTGATCTACTTGCCTATTAGATTGACAAATGATCATGAAACAGATACAAAATTCTATAAATCTATAAAGGTAGCGGCACTGATTTATTTTCATTTAATATTTACTATTGTTATTCTAATTACCAAAGACCAAAGATATTGTACATAATACTACTGTGAAAGTGCATTAACAGTTATCATACCTTTATGATAACTGTTAATGCACTTTCACAGTAGAAGGTATGGAAGACAGGTAAATTATATTTCATGTGTATAATTGACACTTAGCAGTAATTCGGCGTTACTGATGTTCCTGTAACGCGTTACAATGGTATACTTTTTCTCAGTATAGGTGTAATTGCAGTCGTTTGTTAGTTTATTGTTATCATGTAGGCCGTGCCATGCACACACCGTTGCACCCAAAATAGCTGTTGCACAACTAATTCGCACTGCATCTAGGTGCAATGAACTACCGTCCCACACCCGGTGCAGTCGAATAGAATTCAGTGCGGCTGCATTTTGACTACCGGGATAATCTGTGCATTGAATTTCTCGAAATTAGGCACAAAATGAGCGGATTAAACGTTGAGGGTACGTCTCCCTACAAATCGTCTATTCTGATAACAGTGTGTTAAGTTTTGTGTCTGTTACAGTCCTTCGCAAGGCGTTCGATGGCTTCGACCACAACCGCTCTGGCAGTATCCCGTGTGACTTCGTAGCTGACATTCTACGTATGATGGGGCAGCCATTCAACAAGAAGATTCTTGAAGAACTCATTGAGGAAGTCGACGCAGACAGTGAGTTATTCAAATTATACAGTAAAGTTCTTTGGAACATTCATTATATAAGACATAAGCCCTGGCATTGGGAGTATCCGTGGATACCGCCAGGTCACTTAACTGCCACCCGTTTGCCCTCTGTTCTATAAAATAGAAATAACATGTACGGTTTCGTTAACATTTGCCTTTGAATTTCGAGATTTCATGCATCTGTTTTGTTGATCGTTTTAGAAATGAGACGATCGCCACATTGAGATTTTATTTCGGATTCTGTACAAAATTTATTATCTAACAGAATCTGGCCGTCTTGAATTTGGAGAATTCGTAACGCTCGCTGCCAAGTTTATCGTAGAAGAGGACGCTGAAGCTATGCAGAAGGAGCTCAGGGAAGCATTTAGATTATACGACAAGGAAGGCAAGTTTAATTTCTCTATTAATTACTTTTGGCACTATCGTGATCTAAAAAATAATTGAAACGTCTTTAATAGGTACATTCGAGATTCCCGAACTCCTATTAACTATCAATAAATTGATTAAATTTTACAATTCTAATGTCGTGTTTAGGGCAGGCACTAACACAAACAATAAATATGTATTGATCCTTCACTATAATATCAATGGTTGACTCTAATTAAACACACAATACAATATAAATTCTTCGATACAAAAAACCTCACTTCTCACTTTTGCCTAATTTAGTTTTTATTCAATCATGGCGAGTATTATGGAGACAAAAAATAATTGAATTACAGCACATTAGTTTTGCCGAGAGCTGTTACTAGCGATTTTATCAAATATTGTATATTTTACGAGTTATTTATATAAAAGCAATTAGCGTTTACTTCAGTTTTGTACCGCGAAACACTGTATCGTCCGTTTCATTTCACGCGAACTTCAGGCATACGTTTGTTTCACTAGTCGCTATTCTGGGCAGATGGAGACGCGCGCGTGAAATCATGAATTTTGCGATAGTAGGCAAGTCAGTCTATCGTTAATATAGGAGTTAATTTTATATTGTTCGTTCAGGCAACGGTTACATTCCCACCTCAAGCTTGCGTGAAATCCTCCGTGAACTGGACGAGCAGCTAACGGAAGACGAACTTGATGGTCTCATTCAGGAAATTGACACAGACGGCAGCGGAACAGTTGACTTCGATGGTAATTATTTAATTCTATTTTCTAGAAGTTAAACTTGTAAGAACGGACTAAGCGTGCCACCGCTAATGCGTCAAATCTTATTGTAGACTATTCCGATAATTTGATATTTGTTGTCTGTTTAGATCTTTCTGAGAGAGCTTTTTATTATAGTCAGATCATTTACAAAAATAATTAATAGTATGTAATTAGCTGTTCTAGCCAATGTTCTTAGAGATTTATTCTAGAATTAAAGATGTAAGTGTCAGAGCTGAGATTGTCCTCCATGTGTTAAAAATGCATTAGAGTTTGACACGAGAGAGTTTTGACTGTTACTCTAATAGTTGCGTCAACTATTCTTTAACATTTTTTTTTATTTTACAGAATTCATGGAAATGATGACCGGAGAATAAATTGCTTATCTATTTATATACTTTAAGTCTATCATAATTTACATTTTGGTACTTCAACATTTCGAGATATTGGACAATAAAAAATTAAAATCTATTTTAAGTATTATGTATGTATTTGTAAACACAAATTATGTTAAATATAAACTGATGTGTGTGGCTGCGTATGGTATCTCTTTTTAAATAAATCATTTACAATATTGTGTTTTATTAATTTTCATTTAGTATTTATAATTGGTTAAGGCATATGGTGGTACCGGGGTCTTAGGTTCATAGAGTACTGATCACCAGATACACAACAGGCCATTACTCAGTTCGTCACTAGCATTCAATTTTTGTTTTAATAACATTTCTAATTAAATCAAAAACAAGTTTGTATACTCTAAGCAAGCGATATTTGGCTTCAGTAATAAAGTATTTTTAAAGCGTAAGGGATATTTTTTTTGTAATTCAGGCCTCACAACGGATATTTTAATAAAATAAGACACAAATTAAATTTTATTTTGTAAGGAAAATTATATTAGATATTATTATTGGTGGGGTACAATAAATTGGAAACCAGGCGGGACTTGCAGTTGGCATACTATGTACTGAAAGTTTTGCAAGGTGTGGTGCAACCCAAGTGTACTCCAAGAACTCAGTTTCTTTGTACCTTTGGGTCATGTGCGACGGAAAAGACCAAGGTTGTTTGCGATACCAAGGGCCATAACCATTCTGTTGCACAGATCCCCGTTAACAAAGACATTGCGCCTACTGCATGCTGTCTGCGACAAATTTATATGTTCGCAGAGTTAATTCTCAGTACAGATACCGGCAAACATCTTGAACAAATGTTTCGCGAGAAGCGCTTTTTAGGTATCACTGGGAGGAGGGGGGGCGCGGCGGCGGTAGAGTGACGTGTCGATCGTGTTATTAGTAGATTTGACGTTTGTGTCCCGCGATGCGCAAACTTTCCCCCACTCCCTTGTTTTATGCTCAAGAAGGTTGCCGGTATCTGTAGCTATATTGTTCAATATTATATACTTTATTTTTTCTCGACATTATCGTATTAGCTTAGTCTGTAAGGATAATGTATTATATATTGTTGTTACTAAATAAATTATGAAATATGATATACTCGTGTGAAAATGACATGAGACCTAAAGAAGGCGAACCGCTAACCAGATCTATGCAACTTCCTCACAATCGAGTAGCGAATATCGCGGCACAAAAATCCCAAGGGGAATTTTTTGTTTCGAATTCGCATGAGTCCGCCAAGCGTCCGCGCATATACAAAAGAAGCTAATTACCAGACTAAATTAAAAAACTACGGATTTGTAGCTAGACGCTTGAAATCTAAATCTAAATGAGTATTTTAAAGCGATAGAGGAAATCGTTTGAAAGATTTTACGAGACAAAAATAATAAAACCGAATGCCAAATTGTCCTAGATTATTTTGTCATAAATACAGGGAATTGGCCTGAAGCCAATTTTAAATAAATGGTCGCAGTGGCTTTTAATTCGATGTAGAAACTAGAAATTCAGTCCCGTTTTTTCAAACTCGATCATGTAATAAGATAGTTCTTTTGCCCACTTCGTTCATAACTATTCGTTATACAAATGAATTTTTTTTTAAATATATTTTCTAACTTACCTATATGTACTACTTAAGTAAAGGGTATTGGTAACCCGGATGATAAAGCACTACTGCCTATTTCTTTTAACAGCTTTTTGTATAACATTTACAGCAAATCCCAGTTCGTCTATGTTACTTTTATTCCCATAGCTTGTTCAGTGTTATGCCTGTCGTATCCATACATTGGACAGTCGGTCAGCAGTGGCGTAACTATACCATCTGGGGCCCGTGGCAAATTCTTTTGATGGGGCCCTATCAGTATAAATCGTCACGTTGTACTCAGTCTAATTTTAATAAACTTTGAAATTTTTAGAATAATCAATTACACACTGGAAATGTTCTATTAATGGTCATAGGCTCTTAGACGAGGGGGAATGTTCTGTAGTCCCCACGCTTGCCCAATGCGTATTGGTGACTTTACATTTATCGATAAAACATAATATCTCTTAGGCAGGGGCCCTCTTGGGTCCGGGGCCCGTGGCATTTTGCCAGCCCTGCCACCCTATTGTTACGCCACTGTCGGCCAGGACATTTAGAATACGTTTTAAAACTATATAAATTATCTGAAAATTAAAAAAGAATACTTGACGACAATCAGTTACCTAATAGATATGTCTTATGTATGTCAAATCGCCTTTGATATGCGTATGTTATGCTGTCTCTACTAATTTACCCTTAGTATTGTGTTGGTGGTCACATAAAAACCACATATTTCAACTGAAAAAAGTATGTGCAGAAAATAAAACAATTTATAAATATTACATAATATTTTAATTACAAATCCTTGATTTATATCAAGTTGAATCTTGCGTAAAAATGGTCAATAAAATTAGCATAATCTAAGTAAATATAAGACTTCATAAATGCACAATAAATAATTACACATAGTAATTTTCAATTATATACAAATTCACATTTATATAATTTTACAAAAGCGACAGCGATTTATTGGTTTTCGTCCTTAAATAAATACAATTTGTGTAATATCCTTATTACACTGATTTCAATGATAATTGTTCTCCGTACTAGTAAGATTTAGTTTTTATAAAAGAAGTAAACTCGAACAAATGAACGTAGATAAATCAAAAATCGGTAACGTTCTATTTGACAAACGCCTTCAAAAGTATAGTGAGCGCTTCAAAGATGGCGCTATTTATGTCTATAAATGTTGGTGTGTGCTACGTTTTTTTAAGTAGTTTAATCTTTTAATGCCAAATTAATGAGCCTTTATACTGAGATTTTAGGAAAAATAATATTAACTTCAGTATTTAGGTATTTTTCATCAGACATTTAAAATATGAAGCATTAATTACACTAAGAAAGAATACATTTTTATATACTTACGTTAGAGACCTTATGTAATGTGCATTTGTTAGTGAAAATTAAATTAATCTCATACTTACAGGCCTACTTAAAACGTAGGCCCTGCTAAACAAAATCCATCATATAATAATCCATACGGCAGATATATATTTTATATGATGTTTTCATAGGTTTTTCAATTATAAATATATCTCTTCGCTAGAAGGTCAAAACCTGCTATGGTAAGCTTCAACATATTATTATTATAATTGAAATTCGAATCGATAGATGGCGCTATTGCAAATTATTGGTAATATTATATCTGCCACACGTGTCATCATAAAATATCTTTAAACTTAACAGATAAAATATAATACAGGAATGAAATGTAACTAAGACAATAAAATATATATTTGTATTACTTAATTATATTAATTTTATCGCAAAAATAACTGTTTAGAAATAACTCCTATTTGTTGAAACTAAATGAGTTTTACACTTTTAAATTGATTTCTCATAATTCAAAATTCCACATAAAACATACTTTAAAGTGTGATAAACTGATTTGTTATTTCTAAATAAGAGCAAGCTTTATTTAAGCAATAATTTTGATTATTTCTATAAAATTTATTAAATGGCACGTTAGTCAACACACGCCTTCTTTTGTATAGAAATAAAAATGTTGTAATTAAATAGCAACTATTCATAAAAACTATATCAGTCTACTGTTTTAAATACTCTATTAAGTTGTGTTTTGTTATGCTAGTTAAAATAGTGTGTAAAACTGATTTAGTTTAAATAAATAAATTGCGTTTAATATGTTTAGGAATTTGAATCATGAAAGTGAATTGCAGATTCAAAGCTACATTTCAAAAGCCAGTAAAAATTCATTGGTAACGCAGTTAAATACCTAATTTAAGTCTTCAAAGAGTCATTTTTGGTAATTTTTTAATAACCGACGTGAAATTAGATAAATAATTTGGAACTGGTTAGTATCTATAGTTTATTAACAGCTATAAATAGATACATTAAAACCTTCAAGCTATATATTTTTATTTAACACGTATACACAGTAGGCCATAAAAAGAATTACGTCTAAATCTTTGATACGCAACTCGTTTATTCCAATAGAATGTAGAAATGTCAACAAACAGGTCATTAACCTTTAGTTCGGTTTAACTATTCAAATTCATAGAGCACGTTTTATTTTGGTTACCATTTTTTATGTTTCCCGAAATTATTCTTTGATAATTTAGTCGTCGCTACGTCAGCTAAACAAATATAATTTTTATATTTTTATAATTAGAATCAATATATCGATAGTAGATTATATAGCCCACACGAAACCATAGAGATTATCATCGGTCTAGCTGTCAAATGTCAATGCCTAATTTAAGATGTATATTGTCTTTGTCAGTTGACATTTTTCTACACTCTATTAAAATATACGTACATAATCAAAAAAAAATTAATCATGGCAATTTGAATATCGTACTTCGAAGCTGAATGACCCCATTAACACATTATAGGTAGATTTGCGCAGCCCCATAGCGTCTTTAAATATCTATATCTATTCTGAACACTACCTACGAGATCTCGTTTTGAACTATTTAAATCATGAATCAAAAGCTAATATCACATATTTTATATATTCGCCATTGATTTGGACCAGCAAAAATATGTGTATTACAATAGGAATGTAAGCTGGTTTGGCGAGGTTATATTGAGCTATAGGTGGTACAATTATTACCTATGCTTTATTTTCTAACTATAAGTAGTTTATGAATACTGTTAAGTAAGATCTTCATTCCATTCCTCTTCGCCGTTGCAGCTTTGAGCTGCAGCGTGGAAGCACTTTTGTAAGCTGAAAATATTGTTTATTTTAATTTAAGATAATTTGTTATTCTATATCTACAGATGATGCAGAATTCTAGGTAATTAATGTCTTTGATGTAACGAGTTTAGCTAACGAATTTTTACAATTATTTAGCTTGACGGAAAGCGCGAACGTACCGATATTTTTTTTATAATTATTAATTGTCAACGAGGACCAGGAGCAAAGGATAATTCATCTTACAAATTTAATATAAGCCTTCAACGCTTGGAATCGTACAGAGAGTACCTATAAGTCCTGAGTTCATTGCCAAACAAAAAGTTATTTGATATAGTCTACCAGTAAAAACTATATCTAAATAATTACATTTCGACTTGGAAGGTATAGAAGGCTGATATTTAAGTTGCTAGTTAATAATATCAACTGCAACCCCATCCTCAAAAATAATTCGCTACTAATGGATACCCATTTGGTTCATTTTTTAACGGTAATCAGGGCTTGGGGACGGTAGTACCATAACTAAGCGATTCTTAAGTATTTAAAAAAAAAACAGTAGCGCTGCAACCTTTTTAAGTCTGAGCCTCAGATTTCCGAATCTGTTTCATGATCATTTGTCTTATAGGCAAGTAGGTGATCAGCCTAATGTGCCTGACACACACCGTCGACTTTTCAGGTTTAGGCAAGCCGGTTTCCTCACGATGTTTTCCTTCACCGATCGAGTGAATGTGCACATAGACAGTCCAATGGTGCACAGCCGGGGATCGAACCTAGGACGTCAGGGATGAGAGTCTCACGCTGAAGCCGCTAGGCCAACACTGCTCTACTTCTTGCTTCAAATTGAATACTGAATCAAATTATTAAAAAAAACACTCACCTAACATAGCCACACTGGCAGTTTTGACTAGTGACATTATCGTCTTAAATGCAGTGGTGGCGGCCTCGCACGACTATTATTCCGCCTCGGTATGGCGCTTAAGTTTGGTAAGCTATGCTCTTTCGACTTGGCAGCACGGCCGAAGCCTTTCCGTCCGCGAAGTAGCCAGGCCGGTTGAGGCCCGGCGGGGTCGCACCACGCGGCCTGTAACCAGTTACGAGGTTCGGCTCCGACGCGAGTGCATTCCCTCGCGTACGCCCTGTATGCGGCGCAATGGCACCGAACACCTGTGCAACTGCACGCATCTAATAGGCACGCTTCCTTGTAATTATGCGGATTCACTTTCGCTCCGCATTCGGAAAAAGCTTCGTGATGGTCGAAGGCCCGACACAGACGACGCACTTTAGTCAGCTTCGACGCTTTGCACCGCGAGTTCAGACCGGGACGTTCCTGACGCCTCGTACACGCTCGGTGACCACCCACTCGCCAGGAAGTACCGAATCTCCATGCATCGTTTATCAGCCTGCCGTCACGGGTTCTCATGTCATCTCTCGCTACGGAATTAAAGTTCCCGCAGAGACCGCAGAGCTGACCCTTATACGAACTCGACACGGTCACTTCCAGAAACCCATCCCCGTCCCAGAGCATCTGTAGACCTATATCAGACTTGAGCACGACCGACCCGTTGCTGCGACCAATTTCGGCGATGCCTTTTATGATATGAGGCAATGCTATTCTTTGCCCGTTTACTTTTATACGCATTTTTCTTCCCATGTTTATTTTAGTGGAGCCGATCCGAAGGGTTGCGGTGCGTGTCCAAGAGGAATGTGAGGTGTTTCTGGCGTCGTTCGATATTCTTATAGAGAATGTGTGGTTCTTGCAATCTGAGACTAGTTGATATTTGCACGATCCTTGAAAGCTATAAAACTTTCCGTCAAAAGACTTGTAGTGTGGGTCGCCAAAAACTGTACATATACCGTCTATGTCGATACATTTTGGGCAACATTGGCCTGGAGACTGTCGCAGTGTTTGATCTGGGGTACAAGAGAGCGTTGGACATCTTTCCATGGCACATCTGGGTTCACCGCCATGACATTCACAGGACTTGCAGGCATCGAGTTGCCACGTATCTCCTTCCTGGAATAGGAAAAATATCATAATTTCATATTTTTAAGATTAAATCTATTTATGATGTTGGTGATTCGTTTTTTATTAATATTATATATTATTTAATTCATATTACTTTTAAAACGTTGAGTATTTCCTTTTTCGCGTTACATTTTTTAAATTGTTTTATTATATAACGGAAACGGCACTATTAGTATTGAAATCTGTATATTGAATATTTATATCAATGGAAATATTATGTTGATTTTATCTCTAATAAATAATTCAAGGTTTAAAATCAGCACAAATCTGCAAATTCGGTCTGTAAGAACCAACCCAGGATTACAGGCACAGAGGTGCAAATGAGAGCAAGCTTATCCAGAACTTCACATATTCGGAAGTGGGCTGATCAAAAAAAGACAAGTGCCTATTTGATACTTATCCGCAATTTTACTAGTAATTTCTTGCTTAACAATAAGCATTTAAAAGGTTAAAAAAGGTTTTAAAGAATGCATTGTTAAGTGCGTGTCTCGAACCTACCTAATCCTGTGTTTCGCTGGGATTTTTTCGTGCTTAAAAAAAATTCTGGTATTATTATTTTAGCTAGTATATACATTTTAATTGTATATTTAATATTTTTGTAACATTTATGTTTACCTAAATTGTCATACATTTTAGATAAAAGAGCTTGTAACATATACTGTAGATTTAGTAGGTACAATGTATGATGTAAACTTCAATAAATAAATAAGCAAAAAATTACTAGTAAAATCTAAAACTGGAAGTGTATTGTTATTATTATTTTTCGTAACATTCATTTCATTGCGTAATAATAACCCTGAAGAACCGCCATACTGGTACAAATGACCCACTATTTTGTATATATGTTTTATATATTAAGCGGTGAACTTTAATCTAATATATAAAATTCTCGTGTCACAATATTCGTTCCCATACTCCTCCAAAACGGCTCGACCGATTCTTATGAATTTTTTAATGCATATTCAGTAAATCTGAGAATCGGCTACTATCTTTCAAACGCCTTAATAATAATAAAAAATATTATTTATGATACAGCATACAAAAATACATACCACCCTTAACAGTGTCTCTCCTCTACGATCAACCCCTATTTTTTATTATTTTATTTTTATTGGCAAAACAACGTTTGCCGGGTCAGCGAGTAAATAAATAAATAAATGAAGACTCATAAAAAGCTATATCATAAAAATGTGCAAAGAAAAGTTGTAATATTTATTTGTAACTACCTGATATCTGCGTGAAGCTATGTATAAAAAAAAAACTACCTGATAAGTTTTTCCCGCCACAATACAAGCGGCCTTAGCTTCCTCGACGTTAGGGCATTCGGGGCAACACTTGCCAGGTGGCGGGGGCAGCGCACGCGTGCATGTCAACACGGGACACGTGTGACGTGCGCACACGGCGGTCCCGTTGATACACGTGCAGTCAGTGCACGGGTCTACTTGGAATTGGCTCATGTGCGCGTGATACTCCTTGCCAATTATACACGGCTTTGGTAGCGAGCTTCCTGAAACTACATATGGACTTATTTTTATTGATACAAGAGCGGGATTTTAGCTCTGAAGGCATCTAAGGACTTAGGTTAATATGGCTTTACTACCCATTTTGGCATGACAATGTTTAAAAAAACTAACACAGACATTGTATTTTTTAATATTTAATTTCTATTTAATTTTTTTTGTGAAACTTATGCTTTCATTAATTGGCACACATTTTAGATGTGAGATTTTGTAAAATAATTGGTAATTTTGGTACTGTGTGTGCTGTCGTGGGCTTATAAAAAAAAAAAAAAAAAAAAAAAAAACAGACACAGCGCATGCTGAAAGCTCTCAGTGACACTCTCAAATACAGAGTGTATTATACACACACGCATCTATTTACATACTCATTCATTTTAAGATCTTATTCGAATTTTGTTTGATGTAAAACTAAGATGTTTTTTCTTAAAAAAATGTTTTAAATATGCACCATCACATGTATGAAGGAATAATTGTAATATTCAGGGGCATTACAGTATGGGGACTAGTGTTAGATCAATTTTGTCACAACCATATTTCTGTTATAATTTTAAGTTTTAATATTATAATTTTTTTATTAAATTTAATGGTAACACTTAAGTTGATCAGTGATACAACTACTGTGCTTGTGAGCTTTTAAGAAATACCCTCATATTTATAAAATGATGCTTGATTTAAATAAAGATATTCGATGAATAAACCCTTCTAAGGTAAGCTAAAAAAAATATTAAAACAAGCAAATACTTACTCGGTAGAATCTTATCAGCTGTTGGGTGTGAGCATCTTGGACAGCATTCCCCAACTGGTGTGAACTGCTGGGCTTTCCCACAAGGTAGTACTGGACAGGCTCGCTTTGTACACGATAGCGAACCTCGCACACATCGACATGACAGGCACGGTTCCTCTGGAATCCGTACATCCCGACCTTCCCAGACTCGCTGGCCGTTTATAACACATTCTGAAAGTTTATAGAAAGTTTTAAGCTGAACAGTAAAATTCACCTCTTCCAGTCCATCAATCGAATTATTATACTACTAACGATAGCGATCCCGATTTTAGTATTGAGTAAGGGGCCGTTCATGTATTACGTAATATTTATTGGGGGCTTTTTTTTTTATTTGTAATTATTTCCTTTTTTACATAATCCACACAATGTCTCTGCTTGAAAACGAAATGCATTTTCGAGGATTCCTACAATAAAATTAATACGTTTATGTCATATTATTTTTGAGAGCTTTGTTTACTCTTGCTGACGAGGAGGGGGGGATAAATTGCAGTAAATCTGCTTACGTAATACTTGAACCTTAAAGGGGAACCTTAACGCTGATGTAACACACACACACATATATATAGATATATATACATATAACAGCACCGCTATTGAAAGAACTATATCAAAATTGGGGCAAGAAATCAATAGGAAGTTGTTGACGAGTGCAGTTCCTTTATGAAATTTCTTGCATGTTATGGAAGATATATTTATATTTAAGCATATATGCTTTAGGAAACACCTCCTATACAAATAATATTTACACTTAGGCACTTGGAATGTACTTGACTGAAAGTCGAAATAAAATACCTCCAAAAGGTATATAATAACAATCAACTTGTACCAACCAAGTATATCAAATTCTGTTTATACGATAATTATAAAGGTATAATTATGAATCTGTGGTAAAGGCACGCGGCCCACGGTGGTCGCTGTGTGCGGCCATACCTTATTCATCAGGATTGATTCATCCTTACCCGCACTTATTTATTGACGTCGGTTTGGAAAACAATGCGATTTTGTTTTTGCTCCATTAGGCGATTGTTATTTTAAACGGTCGCATTCTTTTTGAAACTGGCAGATTATGAATTAAATTACGGATTTTAATTGCGAAATTAAATTTAAAAAGTTGTAAATTGTAGTTGAAAAATAGATGGTAATTTATTTATTTATTTACAATTCGTTAGATTTATAGAAAAACAAATAACACATCAAAATTGTAAGGGATGCAACGATCTCAAGCGATCTCTTACAGGCAACCCTAGTAAGGAAAAAACTCAAACAGCAATATGATGGGTGAAGTGCAAGAAGTGCTTAACCAAATATTATGAAAAAAAAATATAGAATCACCAAGCTTAAGCTAAAATAATACAAAAAAAAACGTGTGTGTACTTATGTACACGCGTCAGAAGTTACTTCTTTGGCGTAACAAGATAAAAATCTTTTCAAAAAATTTATTCTACGTTTGTAGAAAAAACGACACTATCAATAGGAAAAACTATCGACTATAGCTAATTTCAAGGTGTCGGGTTTTTGTGACGGTGTGCGCGCGCATAGTAAAGATTTACTTTCATGATTTTTCTCTAACGCGCTAAAGAAGTATAACATCAAAAATTTAATAAGATAACCTAAAAAATTTACATGTTTATAGGTAACTCACTTATGTGACCGCATCTATGGTTTATTGCGCACGCACATATATACCTGAAAATCCTTATTCCGATTCCTGGCCAAATAATCTTTAGAAATTTGTCAGCCAATCAGCCAAAGCTAAATCAGAATCCTTGAAATTTCAACTGAAATCTTTGTGCTTACAGTACACGACTTTGTACAGTTATAATTTTATTATTATACTCCAATTAGTATGCAGGATAATTCGGGGCGTAAAACTAACAGTTATGTTTTACGGCTTTGGCGAAGAGCTCGTTATAATAAGTAAAATAATATAAGTTATCGGCTCATAAAATATATAGTAGGGACTATAAATTCTAGGGAATAAACAACCAATTACTATAGGTAATGTAGGTGTAACCATTTTTAAGGCACTATCTGCTACCAGGACAAAATCATTTATACAGAAATAATATTAGAATATTCTAAATCACGCCGTTAAAAACTAAGGCATCTTACCACAATAACGTGTTCTTATATCGAAAACTTTTTCGAAATCAAAAATAGTTTCATTAGCCTTTAAACGCAAGGAAAGAAAATATAGGAATAGATATTTATTCTTCAATCACATCTAACCCCATTATTCATATTTTCGTCTCTTTCTGTCAACTTTTGTAATAATAATTCTATGAAGATCTATTCTTTATACACTTGAAGTAACTTGAAACAATAGAAACGTTTCGACGATGGGCAAAAAATATTTGGTATTCACCACCAGCGGTGGCCAATTTGTTAGCCAGTAGCCGTTAGATGTTTCTATAAAAATCATTGTAATAATATTTATGACAAAATACAGAGGCAAAATTGAATGTATATATCTATTTCATATTTTTAATAGAACTAACAAATATACAAAGAAATAGAATAGAATAATTGGCGGTTGTCAAACTCCTAAAGGACTTTAGCTTCTAAAAGTCAATGTATGACATTCCTGACACATAAACTTGTCAAGTTCTTTATATATTTAATACTGTATTTTTTAAAGGTACTGCCACAGGGACCATTTTTAATTATTATTATTATATATAGTGATTATATTAAAGGTTATTTTTTTCATTTAATTAAAGCTATCAAATTCCGATTAAAAAGAACATTAAAATAGACAACACTTTTTAAATGAGGTCGGTTCTTTTTAAAGTATTAAATGTAATTAAAATCCGCTATACATTTGCTTCATTCCACACGTCTCATTATAAGAACTCAATATAATATTTTCTTATGTAACTATTTAGTTATTCCATGTACGTAGCACGAGTATATCACAAGATAATTATTTTAATTTCTCGGGTCGTTGTCGCGGTCCGCTCAATAATAACGATAGCACTTAAGACGACATAAGAATATTAATTAAAACGTGTATTTTATTTAGTTTTTAGTCCGACTTAGATGAAATAGGAAATAAAAAAAAGGTTCTATCATAGTTGTAGTGTCTAAACGTGTACATTTACGTTACAATAAATAACGTGATTAAAAAATTAAAAATTGTTCGTGGTCAATATTAGTGGCAAAGTTAGCTCGATTTTTAGGGTGGCTAATTCAAAAAATTCTTAAGTTGTTAATCTTAAGTCTATAAAAAATACTCGAGCTTTCTTAAACAATAATTTACGATACAACATACACTTTCATTATAATATGGAACACCATATACATGTATATCGGTCAAATGGATCGATTTGTGAAGTCAATTCTTAGGTCAATAAAAACTCCTTAAAGATACAAGCAAAAAACTTGATGACCATTTTTGCTGAGCCCCAAATAAAAGGTTCTGATAAGGTTGTAATAAGATGTAAGAGAAACAAAAAGCTAATGCAGCGTGGGGATCGTAAAACAAACAGGGCAACCTCGAAGCCATCCAGGCGCGGCGGCTTTGAACGTACAAAAACCTTTTAAGTATGTTGTTAAGTTTTTGATTTATAGTCAATAATAGAGACACAACGCCGTGGGAGACTTTCAGAACACTAATGTATATAATTTTAATGATTCTGTTAGCCATAACAAGGTTTGGGAGTCGTCCTTCAACACGCTAAATGAATTATGGGTGGTCTTATTCCTATTGAGGAAGGTTGTTGCAACAAAAAATTAGATTTAAAATTATCCAAAAATAATAATAATTAATATTCTTTAGCTTTTTTGTTATTATATGACAAATAATAATAATAAATAAAATACAAAACTATTTCAACATTTCCCTTAACATGGTCATGGACTTTCAAAATTACCGTTTGTCACTGTTTTTTTTAATAATTGTAAATTAATACACTACCTTAATAAAAAGGTGTAACAATCAATCAATGATGACCGATAGAGACCACCATTCGGTTTAATACCAATTTATGGTGGTCTCTGACAATTATTGTTGAGTGCTCTATTGTCTATAGGCTACTGCGCAACATCTTGTATTATTATACCATTGTCACCAAACCACGTGGGCGATCCTATATACATAAGATTTATCGTCCACTTCATAGAATATTTATAGAGCCGATTTAAGCATTAAAAGTTCACCTTCGTAAAAAAACGGCATTGATTTTTATTACAATCACCAAAATGTTATTTAAGCGAAAATATTTTGACGCATTTTGGTATTTTTTTAATTCTAAGCCTCAGATTTCTGAATTTATTTCGTGATCATTTTGCAATCCAATAGGCAATTAGGTGATCAGCCTCGTGTACCTGACCCACGCCGTCGACTTTTTCGGTCTAAGGCACGTCGGTTTCCTCACGATGTTTTCCTTCACTGTTCGAGCAAATGTTAAATGCGCACACAGAAAGAAAGTCCATTGGTGCACAGCCGGGGATCGAACCTACGACCGCAAGGATGAGAGTCGCACGCTGAAGCCACTAGGCCAACACTGCTCAATATTGATATAATAGGTTAAATAAAAGACCTCGTAAAGTACCTATAGCCTATACTAAATCACTGGTTATGAAGGAAGTGGAACACAAAAATACCTATTTGTTCTTTGTCTGTCATATACAGTCTTCAAACTACCAAGAAGATATTACTTATTTAATTTTTATTTAATTCATATAGGTAACCAAGTACACTTATGAACGTCAACAGAAAGGATGTTAAATTGATTCTAAATTTACATTTACTACCACTTCGCAAGTCAAGGGTGTAGAGCGGGCAAGAATAACTGGCAATAAACTCTCCGCCACTCTTTTTAATCGCCAAGTTTTGAGTCATACAAATCGTTTGAACTGGAGCAAATCAATCCCAAGGATTAGGATCATTTAAGTATTCGTCAAATTTATGAAAAGCTTTATTGATTAAATTACGTTTAACGAGAATTTTGAATTTATTCAGTGTTAATTCTCTAATTTCCCTTGAATTCTTTCGCAGCCTTCGAGACTCAATTTCTCATTGAAAAAATTGTTCAAGGAAAATTCTCGTTATATATATAGCTGATTATACAAAGTCGCGGGCAGTCGTTATAAACTTTAGACTGGTATAAACTAACTGCGTGTATTGGATAATGAATAGCAATAAAACCATAGGAAGGAATGTCGGTTATTCTCAAAAGCGATTCTGTAGCGTCATCTCGAAAATTACTATTATTTGATTTTGAATTAATAATCTTGTTAAGGTCTGGGAAGGTAAATTGCCCAGCTTTTTGGTTTTATTGAACTCGCATGTCGGCGTGTTTGTTTTTTGAATGGGGTTATAAGCTTTTTTAGCCGCTGTGGCGACTGGGTGGGCGCGTGCAGGCTTATTACCAAATATGGCTATGGGTGCACAATTCTAATGCGATCGCCGAATTTAAAGAAATAATAATATGAAGTGACTGTAATTTAGAGTAGGCATAGCGCTTTTTTGTTATATAATACATTAAATAAAAGTTTTTATGTTTATGTTACTTAAATGTCATTTGTACAGAGTACAATACTGAAATTAATAACACAAGTTTAAAAACAAAATTACGGCTTACTTCATTGTTGAGTTAATGATATAGCTATTTATTATATTACAGCGCAGCGACTAGTTTAAATTTATACATCTAGAAGCTAATCGCTAGTAGCTTATTGTACGGATAGAAGCAAATCGTACTACTAGTAGGTAATTGTACGGCGATAAGCAAATCGTACTACTAGTATCTAATTGTACGGCGAGAAGCAAATCGTACTACTAGTATCTAATTGTACGGCTAGAAGCAAATCGTACTACTCGTAGCTAATTGTACGGCTTGAAGCAAATCGTACAACTCGTAGCTAACTGAACGTCTAGAAGCTGATCGTATAGCGTACTACTAATACCTAATTGTACGGCTAGAAGCGAATCGTGCGATTAGCTACCGATAGCCTTTTTCGTAATAACCCTACGACGATGCCATGAGACAGACCCGCGCCAGCGAAGCAATTTCATTATAACTTGAATGTGTGCGTACATTCTTTGATGGGAAAATGCAGCATACAATGGGTATTGCAGTTATTACTTTGTTTTCTTATTCGTCGAATTAAACTTCTCAGTATTGTTCAAGAGCCTTTTAAAACAAAGCTTATTGGTTTAATGTTTCATATATTTTATCTTTTTCTTGAAATCATTGCTTGAGTTGGTGGGTGGTTTTGTATGTGGCTCGATAGATTTATGAAATTGGAATCAAAGACAAACAATTGTCTTTGGAGCCGTTCAAGTATTACGTAGGCACTATTGGGGTGAGAGGGGGTTTTTGATTTTCTTATTTGGTGATTACGTCAACAGTAATTATTTACTTTTTTACACATATTACACACACATTGTCTATGTTTGAAAATGCAATGCATTTTCGAGGATTCCTACAAAAATTAATACGTTTATGTACTATTATTTTTGAGAGCTTTGCTTACTTTTGCAGTAAATCTGCTTACGTAATACTTGAGATACTTATTTCGGTTAACTATTTCTCAACTGTTTTTATTAAGATTTTAATGTAATTTATCTGGTCAGACAATTTTATTTATGGAATGTGTGCACAGAATTTATCTATTTTATTCACACAGCTTGACGCCTTTTTTCAAACGGGTAGGGAAAGACGGATCTCTACTTGCTACGGTTCTGACGTACCCCTCGCTTCATCAACTTTCATGACATTCACCATGCGGTTAAAGTTTTGATCTGACCCTATCTAGTACTGGATTTGGTCCAGGTATGTAAGGTACGTTTACCTTGTCCTACACGTGCATCGAATATACATATTGTATTTACGAGCCGAGTATATATATATATATACCTAACTACATATATGTATAAGTCAATCACCTAATGCAAATTATTCTACCTTATTTTACATGCCTTACTATAATATATGGTACTTCGCGTATTAGTACACAAGTTAAAAAAGTGTATCCGGTGTTGGTATAAGCTTTTTATGAAAAAACAAAATATTTAAATTATTATAAAAGTTTCGAGAACTAGTTTTGAGAACTTTCTTATGTGCTTTAAAGTTCCAAAACGTATGTGGGGGTATGTGCTAGCCTACTATGCCTCCCGAAAAAAAACATTGCTTCGCCGGGAATCAAACTTAGGAACTCCTATATATGCCACTATCTGTAACACACAACTCCACAATCACCTTACTCATAATACTTGTCAAAACTTTTAAAGCTTCAGTAGTTTTTACTACTTACTTTATCATATAGCGTAAATTTCTCTAATTTTATCTCTCAGGAATAATTTCATGCAAACCAAAATCAGTTCGTAGATTAGTTCAAACAAACGACATCTTATTTCAATAGGTAATGCGAAATTATTGAAATTTATATACCATTACGAATTAATAATAATTAATGATATTACCATCACAAACAGGACAATTATAGTGTCGTTGGTGTTTCGGATTATCGCACGGCGCATAACATTCTGGCCGGGAGATAGTGACGACTCCAGCTTCACATCTGTACAGCTTTCCGCTGTCTCCCCATTCTGTATGAGAGGCGTAGTCTGTGCCATTGTACCAACATCCCTTGCAGCGGGCGCAGCAGCCCTCACGCGGCATCACAACCGCACAATCTTCCATTAGACCGCACTCTTCGACGCCTTTTCGGCACTCCACGAAACCGTTCTGGAATATTGAGAACTAAATTAATACTGTACACTATTCTTAAACTACAAATTATAATAATTAAAAAGTAGTAATTAGAAAATTAAAACAATTTAAAATGTTTAGTCCTTGTCCCTTCAATGCTTGCAGCATTTCCTCGCTGTATTACGATACTAATTCGTTGAGCGAAGAAAGCACAAAAAAAAAATCATACTGAGTTAAGCTGAAAAATGTTTCGGGCATAAGCAATTAAAAAATACAAATTTTAGCGAATTAAATTAATTTACAATTAGTATCTACTTTAATTACGGGTTCACATTTTTTCCATATGATAATGGAAACGTACGAAACACGTGTAAATATAAATATATATAATATACATTAAAATGGAAAACAAATGACTGTTTTATCAAATTAAGAAATAACTTATCAACTTTGCGACGTTTAGGATAACAAAAAGCAAGATCGCAAGTTAACGTCAAATGTCAAAAAGTTAAATGCCATAAGTGTTAATTGACAGCTGACGTTGGGGTTACTGTTGCTGTTCCTGAACGTAGTATTTGTTATTTACTAAAACCCATCCCTTAGATTAATGAAAATAAGACCACCTTTATAAGTTTAAAAAACTAAATCAGTAAATTACAGTACTTTCACTTAAGTACATCTTTGTCCCATCTGTCAATATATATTTACTCTGTGATAAAAAGAGATTTATAAATTAATGATATTTAGATTTAAATAAGTCCTGTTGTGTGTGTGTGTCATATCTGTTCAATGTGTTTCTCCTTTTATTTGTAAACCTGTGTGTTAAAATCATTTATATACAGAATCAACGATTTTATATTATGTAAAGATTACCTTATAAATATTTATTATGGGAACTAAAGAGAAGTAGGCGGTTGGCCAATTGGTTGTGTTAACTGCGAGACAGCATTTCTTAATTGCTTAATTACGACCCAGACAACACGACATTTGATCTCTTGTAATCTTACGAATGATCATTTTCACATGTTATTAACACTGAATTAAAAACATTCATACAGAAAAACGTGTATGTGTACTTATGTACACGCGTTAGAAATTTTTTGTGTTTTTTCTTTGGCGTACCAAGAAAACTTTTCAAAACTTGTATCTTTCGCCTTATTAAAACGACACTAACAATAGAAAAAACTAAAATGTTGACTATAGCTAAATTCAGGGTGTCGGTTTTTCGTGACGGTGTGCGTGCGCATCGTAAAAAAATACTCTTTTCATTTTTCCCTAACGCGCCAAAAGAAGTGTAACTTCAAAAGAATTTATTAAATTTTTTTTATAAAAGCTGTTCCCTAAAGTTAATTTGGTCGTAAATAATTCTTAGTATCACTATTCCTCATAAGAAAATCAGCATTATTGCACAGTTTTAACACTAGTTAAACACTAGTTTAGCTGTTTCTTTTCATCCCTAAGTAAACAAAATTTTTGTACGTATGTTCGTGCTTCCGTTTAGTTCCAATTTCGTTCACGTAGCGCCGCTCATGTTTTCATTAAAAATATCTTTGTTACGAAGTCCTAAGGGTACTACCGACTCAGAGCTAGTACGTAACTTGTGTTTAATTATGGTAAACCGCATTGTGTGGTTACAATTGATACGGCCTATCGTAACTATTAATTAATATCGACTATATTATTATTCAATATATTGAGCGAAACAGCGTATGTAGCGTACAACAAAAAATAATATGACGCAAGTATACAATTTATTGAAATATCTTTAAACATTCAATGCAGGATGCTAGATCAAACATGGTTTTAATAGTTTCAGACAAGAAGAAAACAAAGTTTTTTGAATTATTCCAGCTATTTTTTTATATAGGGGAAAACGGGCAGAAAGTTTAGTTATACCCATAGACACGAATATTGCCTATATAATAGAGGGCTCGCAAGTGGGTTGCCGGCCTTTTGAGAATTGCTACACTTATGACTCTTTTCTTGAAGGACCGAAGTGGAATTGGTTCGGAAATACTTCAGTGGCAGGTTCTACATAGTGGTGGTGCGCGGCAAAAACTGCCTTAATAACGAGGTGATATACGGTTGGGATTTCGTATTCTGCCTTGACGTCTGAAGATGAAACTATAATGATTCGCGGGACTTTCCTCCCCCTCTCAAAGGCCATATTACTAGGTAAACATTTGGCCATCAATACATCCTGAGGACATCGTTTCTAGAGGATATTTTTGCAATGTAACAAAATTACACGAAGGAAAAAAATTACCTAGATATATTAAAAATATTTTCGCGTAACATCTGATTCATTTGAAATTGTATGCGAATCAATTACTTTATTGTATAAACCATTGTTATCGAAAGAATTCTATGAATTTGATACCTATCCTTTTGTTTGCGGTTCAATGAGAAAATAATTATTTCTTGCGTTGAAAAGCAATAAAATTTAAATAATAACTTTATAAGGCATGACAGACGTCCCTGTAGAATACGAACGCGACTCCGAGGTCCTCTTTAATGCGGCCGCGTTGTAACTACCCGGGGTGGTGGTGGAGTGAGTCGAATCCCATCGCTTTGTGGGCGAAAAACTCGTAAACGCATTTCCAGCTTGCCAAATTTCATTTTGAAGGTTGTTTCATTAATTATTTAGCACTGTTGGTTTTCTCGTTCACTTTACGAGCATGTACAAAAAAATTTTAGCGCACAGTTCGAGTTTCAAACCACGATCTAAGGTATTTGTTTTTTATATAGAACAAAAAAGCGGAGGCTCATCTGAGCGATACCGCCGCATGGACACTCAATGCCAGAGTGAATCGCGAGTGCGTTGCCGGCCTTTTAATGCTTAGCCGTATTGTATGAGCACACTTATATATTCGTTAGTGGAATTATATAGTGAAACTGGTTTAAAAACGTCAAAAGTTATTTTGTTTTGAATATACAAATATGTATAATATGCAAATTCTTTACAACGAAAATGTAGGAAATCATCTGTTTTGATTTGTTTTCGGAGAAAAGGACGCATGATTTAACGTTATAAGCGTTTTCATAACTAATTCTATGAAATTGATTTACCAATTTAAGTGCGGAAATAATTTTTATAAATAGATTTTACAAAATTACTAAACACATTTTTGTCTCTGTTTCACTGATATTCTTTCATTATAGCCAAGTAGGTACATTACTGACGAGACGTCCCGTTTTAAACGATACTGTCCCTTTTTCCAATTACGAGTCCCGGTGTCCCCGAAATGAACTGTGATACGCAAAATTGTCCCGTTTTCAGAAACCGCGTGAAAATTTAAGCAGCAGAAGAGTCTTATTTCAAGAGTTTTATTCTTATTTGAAATCTTCACCAATATAAAATCATATTTGTTCTTCTGATAAATATAAGTAAACATTTTTGGTACCTACCTATATTTTGTAATTTGTTACTTTTAAGCTAACTTTTTCTAAATAAATAACAGAAATCTGCGGCCCAGACCATAAGGTTGTAGCGTCATTGATTTATTTAATATGCATTCAGTGGATTATTTAAAAAAATTGACTCTATATAATAGTTAAATTATTGAAACGATACGTCTAATATTTATATTTCTCACATCTATACAAAACGTTATTTAATATAATCAAGTAAAAAAATCGGCAAATGGTCGCAGACAATCAATATTAGCGGTTAATATTTGCTCAAATCTGTAGACTATCAAACGTTTTAACACCGAATACTTATACGAAGGCGTCCCACTTTGTTTGGCCATGACAAGAGGACTTAGCCTTCACTTGTGGTCATAAAGCCGCGTGCGTGACTTCATGACGGTATAACGCCATGTACTTCGTTATTTTTAACCTAGTATCCGAAACGAAAAAGGTGAAATCAATACAAATTTACCATATTCCAGTTACGAATGATTTGAGTAGCACAAAGTGTTTCTTTATTAATAGTGTCCCGGGAATTATTATACGAGATACATATTAATAATTGTTTATTGTTAAGAATATGGTACTTTTTCTTCGCATATTTTGTCAGTAACAATGGCGTGCAAATTTTGAGAAAGGATATTAACACCGATGAGTCGTTGACCCAGTTCGCCTATATGACAAATAAGCTAAAATTTCATAAGCTTGAACGCCCTGATTCCTTGTTTCACTGATAGCGATATAATCAATGAACTAGGTCATCATTACTCACAATTCTTCCAACTATTATTATAAAAATATATTAGAGCATTTTCAATGCAAGATGTTTAGCTCGAGGTTACACTTTGTTTATTAATATTTCAGCTCTTTGATGTTACCCCCAATATTTACAATGTGCCTAAATCACTCTACTGATCGTTAATTTAGTGTAAAAATAGAATATAGATTCAACACCTGTAATAATATTTCGGTCAGAATATGTTATGTTTTTCTTTATTGAAGTTTACCATATCATACATAATACTATATCTACGGTATATGTTACTAATATATATGAGAATTTTGGTAAAAATAAATGTTTACAAAAATTTAAAAAATAAATCTATGTACCTACAATACTAGCAATTTTTGATAAGCAAAAAAACCCAGCTAAACAGAGGATTAGCTATGAGATAGGCACTTAACAATGCTTTCTATCAAATTGATCAGCCCACTACCGAATATATCAAGCTCCGGATAATCGCGAAGATTTCGAAAGAGTCTGAGTTTTAATCAATTGCCACGAATTGGATTAATAAACAAATGTTTTGAGAGATTCTTAACTAAGAAAATATGCTCAGTAATCATAGACAAGGTATATTTCAAAATAAATATAGGTATGGTAAGATAAAATACAGGTAAAAACAGTTTACTGTTGACCAGAGCTTCCTGTTAGAATCTCCGGACCTTGTCTCAAAAATCTTATGATATACATTCGAGGATTTAGATGAAGATTAATTCGCGTCAATACAATTACTAATGTCAAATTGGGTTTTACAAATAATTAATGTCAAATGCAATTATAAATGTCAAACTGGGTAACGATTTTGTTTTGGTTTCCGAATCGATTTGACAGGTCTGAAATCTGACATATCTGATAATACAAAAATAACCAATAATTACGTTTTGTTTTGTATTGTAAAATATCTGATATATTTGGTGCATTTTGAAGTCGTTTTTCAGGTAAGAGAACACACATAGATAAATCTTAAAAAAAATGGTGTACCGAAAGTTTGAATAAAGTTTATAGAACAGAAGGCAGACATATTTCTGTGTGACTTTAGCAAGTCGGCAATTATCTTTCTGTGCCTCAGTCTGTCACAATGTACCTGAACCTAGGACCTCTGGGTTACATACTTTGTAGGTGACGCATGCACTAGATAGTGTAAAAAATTATTATGATGCTTAACAATAAATGACTTGGCAATTTTATTACATTACGTCATTAAATACGCATTAGAAAGGGAACAGTGATAATTTTATCTGTTTATTGTTGTGTTGTCTACGGAATTCGAGTTATCAATAGTTTAATAGTTTCGACATGAGATCATGTTCTTCGATTTGTCATCTATGAGTAAATAGTACGATAAGGTGACACTACAATTAAATGTTATAAGACCTCGTGATGATGGGGAAATGCTTCTGAACCTGAAAAGAACTTTTTTGAGGCAGTTTGGAGCCGGTTATAATTATAATAATATTTAGATTTAAATTATCCTTCAAAAATCAGTTCAATATGGCAATAATAACCCGCAAAATTTCTACAAGATAAATAAAACTGTGTTCACTTGGCTTAGGCCCGTGTGCAAAAGTGTACCAAGATTCTTTCAATCCTGAGGTAAAAAATCAGTTACCAAACATACTCAACATAAAATCAATATACAGTTTAAATTAAAATGTATGTAAGTGTTATATTACTTTTCAGTACCATTCAGTACCATTGATAGGAACCCCTTCACGAGTAAAGCCCTCCTCGTGCTTTTTCCAAGTTTTTCTATCCGTAGCTTTCTGCAAACGCTTCTATATCTTCTATTCACCTTTTTTTAAGACGCCCTCTTTTCTTTAATAACAAATACTAAGCATCGAGCGCGCTAAGTACGACTTTCGTATGTCAAATCTAATTGAATGAATTGAATCTTTCCCCAAAATTTGCAGGTTTCCGTCCTGTTTACTCGCAATTAAAAACACGTGTTTAAGGTTGAGAATGATACGGTTAACCACTATCCCAACGCTGTTTATACAATACTCATTCAAGTTAATTTTTTGTGTCATATCGTTTATCAAAAGTCAACGAACTTTTGTACTGACTTTTCTTGTGTATTTTGCAAGCGATAGTGCAATTAAAGTTTCCATTGTTTACAAATAGTATATATTATCTGTACTATTAATTAAACGTTTGGACCTCAATGACAAGTTATTTTGATAATACAATGATGTAGGTTAGTTTAAATTAATGATAAATTTAAACGCTAGTAATTTTAATTAAATGCTATAACCAGAACAAGTATTTATTAAAAATTATTCACGTTTGCGCTAAATTTATAAGGCTCGAATCGCTATTCGAACCCAGAAGCCCTGCCAAATATTAGTGAACAGTTTTGCAGGACAATTCTTGCATAAGGATTGAGTCTTTAAAACCTAATTTGAGGAGTCAATGGTGTACATAAATAAAATAAAAAAAATAAATCGATGGCGCTACAACTTTTTTTAGGTCTGGGCCTAAGATTCCTGTATCTGTTTCATGATCATTTGTTAATCTAATAGGCAAGTAGGTGATCAGCCTTCTGTGCCTGACGCACGCCCTCAAATGTTTTCCTTCACTGTTCGAGGGAATGTTAAATGCGCACATAGGTGCACAACCGGGGATCGAACCTGCGACCTCAGGGATGAGAATCGCATGCTGAAGCCACTAGGCCAATGAATAAGCCGTATAAAACCTTTTTAAATGATTCAAATGCGAAGTACATTATTTACTTAATTTGATGACTGGTCAGAAAGAAACGCTAGCAACATACTCTTCTTTATTAGGCTTAGATTCGTTTTTTTTTATTCCTCAAAATCACCGAGAAAATAGCGTTGATTATGGCTCCCTCAATCGACACCCGACCATGCAAGTGAATAATTCTATGAATTTAATATTTACATATTAAAATTATTTTCAATAATTTATGTCATACATACCTAAACGTTAGTTTCTTGGAATAAGGATAAAGCGTGTATAAATGATGTTTAAGTTATCCTCTTGATATTAAATGTAATTTAACGATCGTAAAAATATTTGCGGGCATAGAAATACTTTGAACAAATACCTTCATATTTTTGTTCATAAATCCAATAACAGATAAAAAAGGCAGTGAGAGACTGTTTATTCAACATATAGTTTATGAAATATTTATTGTCTTATATAAATTAATTCAAATATGTGATATTTCGGCAAAGTTAACCCAGTTTCCGTTATGTGATAACAGAGGGCAAATACTTCCGGGAGTATTGCGCAATTCCACTTCCTAATACGCCTATGTTTGATAACCATAGTTGTACGTTCAATGTTTTCCAGTCGTAATAAAAATGAGTGGTAAAGTTTACGTAATCAGAGGTACAGTCAGTGCAACGAAATGGCTTAGCACGAAATTTACGTTTTGTTTCTCAAAAACATTCGTTAATTTTGTCATAACATAAAAATATAATCGTCCAAATTCACCAAAAACACCAAATTTTTTATTGTTATTTTATCTTGATAAAACTCTGATAAAACAGCCAAAAAAGTAGTTAGCCTTTGGGGAATTTAAACAAAAACTCTAAACTCTCTTTTTGAATAAATAGAGGTCGTAACTGCTTGGAAAGACACCCACAGCGAGCTTTTTAAAAATTATAAAGATAACTTAAAAACTAAACCATACATACCTCCGCGTCATTGTAATCGAAGCGTTCTAAAAAAAATAGTGTGTTTGTGTCAGCTACGACGCACGATTGGAGTTTACTCCTTACGAACGATAATTATGATATATATCGAATAGGAAAAAATTGAAATGGGTCGTAATAATTTAATATAAGTATTATAAAATATTATATAAATATAAAATATATTTAATCAATTAATTAAAAATAATAAACAAAGATGGCGATAATGTTCTGTGGCTGTCGACCATATTTTCATACTAAAGGTGGTAAGAATATATGTTTTTATAATTTAAATGTTTGTAGTAGTAATAAAACGTACCTACATCATCTATGCCCAAATAGGATTTTCTTTCTGTGACCAAAGTTACCTTTATAGTAAGAGAAGAATAAGAATGAACAATCTTTTTAGTTTTAATTTCACTGACCATTACTATTGACAAAACTCTATGGCACGCTAGACAATCTACTTTAATTTTTTACACCTGTCAACACTGACAATGTTGTAACGTGGCTGTCAAAACTCAAAACGTGAATTCAAAATAGAAAAGTCTGTGTAATGTCTTCCATCTCATTTTTTTACACGTTCAATCCTACAGATATATATGTTTGTCTCTTTCTACATAACGCCTCAACTTTTCGTGTTACACTTGATTTTACTCCTCATAAAATTTCCGTACCGGGCCTTATAACTCAAATCATTTCTTAAGGAGTAAACTCCAATAATTTAAAATTTTGTCATTGGAAAATTCAAAATTTATCGATCTAGAGACGTATTTAGAATTTACGTATACTTAATACGTTTTGAAATGCTGTCAAATGTACTTAATACGTCATTACTGTCAATTAATTTAAGCATAAACACGCTACAATTGCTATCTGCACACTCGAAACGGGAACTATAATAAAGTCAATATCACTAGTTATAGAAATTAAATAACTTATGTCAGTGACAAAATGACTTTGAAATGTTGTTATAAAATGGACGTTAGCATATAATATTCATTTCGAATGTGCTTTATCTCTTTATTTACATAATGAATTACGTTAAGCTCAGACTGCGGGGCACAAGCCAGGACTGTCCTTAGAAACATCCAAGAAATTGTTTTTTTCATCATTGTTAATACGAATTTATTTGTAAGTTTGAGACCAGGAGTTGCGCGAAGGAGATTTAGAAAAATTTGTCAATATTTATATTTCTCGCAACGACCTCCGAGGCAATCAAATTCTATTAATATCAATACTTTTGACATAGTGCTAATTTATGCATCATTAATTAGTTTAATGACATAACTGGATACGTTCTTAAGTACGATTGAAATTCAAATGGCTGTTATATTTGACTCCTATCATTTCTAGAGAAGTGTCCAAGAAAGTTATTTTACTTTTTTTAAACATTTTAGTTGTGTAAGATTGTAAACGGATGTGATATATAGCGGACCAGATGGACTTGTCAATATCCTCTTGAATGAAGACCTCAGCAGAGCAAAAGACCGCCTGGTGGCCGATGAGATGGACCGATGGCATCATGACAACATCTCAATGTTGGCTAATCAAAATCAAGTGCAACCTGCCAATGTTCGTCATTTGTTTTACATTTTAATTTAAAAATCCACAGAACAACAACCACGTTTACACTAATCATTACATTTTACATGTTTAGTCTATGCCTTGTCTATTGTCTTGTCGACAACGTTTTTGTTTTATTTTATTTATTAACTATTTATCAAATATTGCAAACTATAAAATTATTCCATTAAAGTAGCCTTGGGGTAACGCTGCATCCGGCAAATGATAATTACTTATTACTTAATTAAACAATGAGCAATACGAAGATAAGCGCTAATTATGAAATTAATATCCCTATTTAAAATAACTGAAAACCCCAATGCAACCGCATTCGCGTCTTGGAGGAATCTATAAAGTGTGCCTACTATGCAACAATATTTTTTACGTCAGTAATAGAACGCAGGACTTCTAAAGGGCGACAATTTCTATGAATTAAATCGTATACCAAGCTTTTGTTTATGAAATAACAAACTTTGACCGAGGAATTGTTTTTATAAAGGCTAGGAAAGCTATTTCGTTCACATATCAGTCAGCAAAGGGATTCAGGTGGACCTACCCAGGCCAGGTAGGTCATGACCCCACCATCCACCCTTGGGACCTCTGGTTACACGCAACTAGCCACGAGGTGGTCTAAAAATACCATACCAGGACTCTTATAGGTATATATAAATTGGTTTTGAGTTCTATTCGAGCTAGGTTAAAATAAGTTAGTAGTTAGGTCAATTGTGTAATATTTTTAGACTTGTTATTGTGAGTGGAGCAGTGTTGGCCTAGTGGATTCGGCGTGCGACTCTCATACCTGATATCGTAGGTTCGATCCCCGGCTGTACACTAATGGACTTTCTTTCTATGTGCGCATTTAACATTTGCTCGAACGGTGAAGGAAAACATGGCGAGGAAACCGACATGTCTTAGACCCAAAAAGTCGAAGGCGTGTGTCAGGCACTGGAGGCTGATCAGATTTAAAAATGATTATGAAACAGATGCAGAAATCTGAGGCCAAAACCTAAAGAGGTTGTAGCGCCACAGATTTTTTTATTATGAAAATGCCATTAATAGTTGTAATTGTATCTAGGTAAGTAAATGATCCCAGTCGACGGCGAGGCCAACCGTGGGCGGAGATGCGGCGAAAAAATATATTATTCTTCTTATCGGGGGCTATTTCTATAGTAGTTGTAATATAAGCTAGTTTCTGAGTTACGTACACAGACAATTAGTCGCATAATCAAAATTTGCCCTGTTCAATTTCTAAATAATAATCGAAACTGGTTAAGCAGAGCAAAAGTTTCCTAAATACTCCAGTAAGAGTTTTGTGTCTGCGAACTATTAAATAAATACTATTCAAAATCAGATCTCTTCACGTTAGTCAAAGTCGAGAGCTCGAGGTAATAAAAGAATAATCACTTCTTGTCCCTATTCGCTTTGCTCCTTTCTTTAAATCTCTATTGTACTAACATAACCTGTCCACATCGTATCCCTAACTTTCGTACTGACGTGAGACTGATCTAGAATTGTCGTGATTCATGTGCACTTTTTATTTTTCATGTGTCCTTTTTTAGTTTAGCTTTTTCTTGCTTACGTTATCTAATTTAACAGTGGTTGCCTGGAAGAGATCGCTCGAAAGTGAAAGCCGCCGGTTGCCCTCCTTTTCATTTAATTTTGTCAATTTTATTATGTTATTGCAACGAAGTATTAATGAATAAATAAATAAACAGCTGTCGCGCAACGGTTTCAAAACGCCCTTCTCAATGCCATTCGACTGAGATATAAAAACTTATTTTACGATGGCAACATTGACCACATTTTTTGCATAATAGTAAAATATACGAACAGTGTTTGATGTGTGGCGTGTAAAAAAATCAACTTTACTAGAAGAACCGGTGCGACCGCATACCAGGCGCGCGCTCGCGGCAAGGCCTTGCCGCCACCTGCGCCTGCTCTCCACTTACCCACTTTCTCGTACCACGGCATCACATAACAACTATCTCTTAACATTGTCGCATCTTATACCGAGACTGTAATATAGCGGTTCACGTGGTATATTAAAAAAAAACAGTGGTGCTACAACCTCTTTAGGTCTGAGCCTCAGATTTCTGAATCTGTTTCATGGTAATTTTTAAATCTAATAGGCAAGTAGGTAGCTTCCAGTGACTGACACACGCCGTCGAGTTTTTGGGTCTAAGACATGTCGGTTTCCTCATTCGTTCGGGCGAATATTAAATGCGCACGTAGAAATAAAGTCCATTGGTGCACAGCCGGGGATGGAACCTACGACCTCAGGGATGAGAGTCGCACGCTGAAGCCACTAGGCCAAAACTGCTCTACGTGGTAAATGAACCACAATTAAAAGTTTAACCCCATGCCCAAATTGGAGTAAAGTTCACGTGCATTACGCGCATTAAAACTTCTACTGTTAAAGACATTATTTCTAAAAAAACCTACACCAGCTCAGAACGTGTTGGTATACACTAACGTGGTAAAACAAAGCATGTAGATGCATGTTTCCTTATGAAATGCATGTAGAAGAGAATATGTAGTATAAATATATATTGCATTTTATTTTATTTTTCCGGAAAATATCTTGCGTAGGTACTGAATTACAGTACAGAAATAGCATCGATGTGTAAAATATTTAATTATATGCAATCAAGACTTGATGTTAAACTAGGAATTGCTCGCCGCAATTCAATTAAACTGTCATATAGGAGCCAAGATACATGATTACTGTAAGTGCTGCATAGTGTTTTGTTTTTTGATTACACGTTTCTTGTAATAACACTTCAGCGTAATGGTATATATAAAATAATTATGAAATGCCTAAAGAGAAAATATTTCCAAATGTCTAAATGTGATAAAGGACTCGTCGATAAGGGACTCGACTCGTAGCAACTACGAATAGTATTCAAATCACACTTATGAACGTCAAAAAAAGGAATACAATTCTCAAATCAAGGGTGTAGAACGGAAGAGAAGAACTGGCAATAAACGTTTTTTGTTATAGTTATTAGTTAGTAAGGCCCGTTATATCAGTACAGACATCGGCGCAGCGTTCCTGAGTTTTTAACTTTTTATTTTTTTTTGGTTTCTTACTGAAAAAATAGTTCTGACACACAAAACAGGAGTTTCATTATCATTAAAATCCTTAATCCCTGAGCCGAAAAGCATTCTTAGGGCACTTTGAAAACAAATAACAAATAATTCTTAAACTAACAAACAGAGTTGATGTTGCCTATAAAACACTTGCGGCAAACAGACTTAAAAGAGAGCTCGGATATTTTAGTAATAATTTTTACAGACAGAAAGTCGAACGCAATCGTTGCTGCTATAAATGACATGCCTCATTAAAGTAAGCGGTGACCGGTAGCTGAGAGATACTATCGGACTGTTACTTCACTGCATAAAAAGGCTACTACTATGGGGTCAGACTGACGCCGCGCTTGCGCACCGCACGTGTTTCTTATTATATCGAACTTAATTATCAAATCTCCTCTTACTTACTAGTAGTATCGTAAGGGCATTACAGATTCACCATAATCAGATAATGATGAAGCTGGCTGAAGAAACATGGAATCAAACCCAAGACAGGCATACACTTTGCAAGCTAGTAAAGATAGGTTTCATAACTCAATTCAAAATATTATATTAAGAATAAACAAAACGTTTTCAAGTTAAACAAATTAAGATCCATAAAGATATCAAATATCTTCAAAAATACGCCCTATATTACACTGATTTAATTTGGACTTGATTGTACTCCCAAATTTCTAGATACATCTAAATAAAATATTTAAATGTTACGTAATATTATTTAGATACTAAGCACATGACAAAAAATACCATTAGCCAAGAAAATACATTTAATTTTTAACACAAAATGAGCGATTAATCTCCCGATGGGCTTTCAAATTCCGCACAAGTCATCCGGCGAGGTGAGATCGACTGGGAAATACCACGCACGCGTTTGTATCCACTATTCAACACTAACATGTTTCAAATGTTCTTTTGTCATTTTAAATTTCGAGCGATTACTGATATAACAACTATTTAGATTTAACATTATATGTATCTACTGTTTATATTGAAAGCGATAAGGCGGCCTGTTCCCCATTATATTTAATTTTTTCATTATATCAACATTATCATCATATATTACATTATTACATCTTACTATTTAAATTACCTCGAACAAACGAATCTATAATTAAACATACGTATTTATTTGTTAAACAAATTCTAGAAGTTACTTACAGAAGCAAAACATAATAAAATTATTAAAGTTCCGAATAATTATATTCTGGTAGTCTCATAACAAAAATAAATAATTATTAAAATTATAAACGTAAAATTATTTAGGATATGAGGTACAATACCTCCTGACTGTATCCAATATTTTAAAAAAGCTTTAGACCAATAAAGATATGCAGGATTCGTATTTTGAAAAGAGCATTCTAACTCTCGATACCTACGCAAGTTCTACCTTTACGTTGTAAACAACTTTTAACAATTATTGCAAGTTCACGATTAAATTTTCCATCATACTTTCACATCCGTACGTGTCCCGTTAAATCGTCAGAGGATCGCTTTCAATCGTAATGCGATTATGTAATTTAACATTGTAATTTTATTCATAAATAATATTTCAAGTACTTAACTTTTGTTACCAAGCAGCCAATTAATAATAACCCTATATCGTGGCTTCAGATTGCATATTTTCTTTTTCAAAAACGTCTATATGTCATTGGTTCTAAGACGTGCTAGTGTCCTCGCGATGTTTTTTTGAAAGAAACAATACCACAGCACAGTTTTCACAAGCACGACCCAGGGCTGAGCAAATTTAAATAAAATGGACGAAGACAGAAAACATTCCTAGAATTGGCACAGACTAGAGTATCTATTGTGAGCAAACGGACAGGAGGCTCATCTGATGTTAAGTGATACCGCCGCCCATGGACACTCACATTGCCAGAAGGTTTGCAAGTGCGTTGCCAGCCTTTTAAGAATATATATTGATTAGCCCATTTTTAACTTAAATAAATTGTATAGTAGTGTTAGAGTGACAGGCCTAAACCATCACCGTCCGTGACAAATAAGATTTATTAAAAAATAACACTGTTTTAAGCAGATATTTACCATAAATATTAGAATATGCATGTGAGACATTTGATAAGCTAATGCCGAACTGGGTTTCCCCAATTATTTCATTACATTTGAAGGTCAAAATTACACTGTCCATTGGTGAGAGTCGCACGTGTCTTTGAATTATAATTCCGCAGTTGGCTCGTGATAAATTTGTATACTGACAGTTGTCATTGGGTGAATACAAACGTGCTTTAAGTAGATCCCCACAGACAATAATTGGCGTGAAGAGCCTACCATATTATCTATCAATTGAACAACACAACGACATTTATTCGGAACACTGTATACATACGAAAGTACGAATAAGTTTTTGAAATTTCAAAATGGTTTTAGCCTGAAACCGTTCATTTCTTTATCTTCTGTGATACTATACGTCATTTAGTGTCTTAATAAAAAGTTTTATAAGGAAAATCGTAGTTTTAAGAACATTACCATTTTTAAGGTAGGTTTTGTATGTTATGTGAATTCTTACCAGCTTTATAATTAAGACACGTACCTTGCAAATACAACGGAAACAGCTACTCCAATCGTGTTCGAGCCGCGCGTCTTGAAGTCTTACGGGCTCGCCTTCGTTGGAGCACGGCGCTCGCTGACCCTCTGTAAAAACTCATTTTGATTAATAAAGATAATAATAATATATAATAGATATTCGTTAATAAGACCACGTCAACCTTACAAGTCAGCTCATCTATCTCCGTTAAACTTATGATGAATCAACCATTATATTATTGGAAAAAAAATAAAAAAGAAATAAAAGCTGTGACTTCTTATTTTTGTAATATTTACAAAAACTGTATTAGTTTCAACTGAATGGAACTGAAATAATTATATTCCAATAAGTGTCTTAATTTCGTAAGACGTAAAATAATTCGGTTTGAATTTTTAAAATAAGAACTTTTATCTTAAATGCGTAATTTTTTTATACCCAATCAGTCACCGACGCGTCAACAATACCATAGACTAAACTCTCCAACAATAAACAAATTCTCTCTAGAGATGATACAAGTTTATTTCCCTGCCGAAACGCACGATCATTTACCTTGATTTAAAACTTCAGATCCGCATTCTTATTACGTACCGGACAGATATGAGCGCCACCATCTCCTGCGCAAATATTTTGGTAATGTTTGCTCACACTACGAAAACATTCCGGTCATGTAAAATACTCACAAAAGCCTTACGTGCTGTTGTGACGTAGTAAATTAAAGAAAAACATATTTATAGCGTAATATGCGTTAGCATTAATTGTTTTTTTTAGATTTCAGTGTATATGACAAGTATGGAGTCCCGTTACCATAGAGCATGAGACATTTTTCATAGACATTTCAAAATAATTATCGGAAATTGATCTCTGCATATCCAAGTCCAGTTTAAACTCTTGGACACACAGGTTGCAGGTTAATATACGCAAAGGCTATCAACGAATATATAATGTTGAGCAATATTTTCAATGATAAAATACCTAATTAGTTTTATTTTTACATCGTCGTCTATCTCGCTTGGCAACCAACGGTTCATCAAGGTTATAAATTATTATATACGACTCGCCGCGGCTTCCCTGCACTTTGCTTAGATAACGTTTTATATTACTTTCCGTATATTAAGCTTCCACTAATGATAGTAGAACAAAAAGGAAAAGAATCCTTTATTTTGTTCATTTTATAAATTCTTCTATTGTTTATTACATTAAGGGTGCCCTTGGGAGAGCTTAAAAGTACACAGGACACCAATATTTTTGTCGATGCGATACCGAGCTTTGCGGTACTCTTATTGTAAGAGTAAAATGAAAGGTAGTGATAGAAATCAGATACTGCATTTGTTTTTTTTATCCTACAACTTGTTTATGTTGCTATGCGATGTAGAACAAAATTAATGTTATTAATATGATGTAGTTTATCTCGTATTGAGAAAACAAAACATCCGGAAGAATAAAATGTTTATTTCATTTCTACAATAATAACAGGAAGGGAAGCAATTACGTAAATGAAATCGTAAATAAACTAAGTTAGAAGTATTTAAGAAAAACATTTAAACGTTCGCAAATTATTATTGTTTTCATATTTCTCACTTGCTACTGAGATTGTTTCTAATATATTAGGTTTTAGTAGGATTAGCAAAAGATTTTGTTATATATAGCGTGACGAATGGTGGATTGTTCTGTGTTTGAGCAGCAGGATCCGTATTCCAGAGAAGTCTGCGCTCCAAATAAATTGGTAGATATAGAATTTTTTTATTTAGAAACTAGCTGCCCCCGCGAACTTCATTTCTCCTTAATGTGATTTTTCTTAGCCTACCTGTTTAGTACATACCAACAAGGAACATTTTGCTATGCTACCCCAGAGACTGTTTGGTTTTCCGGAATGAAAACTTTTTAGGTTGTTCTGTGAATTTTTCTCTATATTAACCTCAGACTTCATGCCATAAGTTTTTAATAAAAAAATAAGGGTTAATCGTAGGGGGGTAAAAATAAAGGGTTGAATGTATTTTTGTATGCTGTATCATAATAAAATAAAAACAAAAAAATTGTCTAAAAAATAAAAATAAAAGTTTAGGGGTGGACTACCCTTATCACTTAAGGGTTTGAAAGATAGATAGTAGCCGATTCTCAGACTTACTGAATATGCATAAAAAAATTCATAAGAATCGGTAGAGCCGTTTCGGAAGAGTATTGGAACGAACATTGTGACACGAGAATTTTATATATTAGATATATTATACGTTTTACTGTTCTTATTAAGCTTTGTTTCTTTTAATATATATGTGATGAAGTGTTTTTTTTTATATAGAAGAAAGAGAAAGAGAAGAGATATTACATATATGTACGTAATTCCGAAGACTGCAAAGCTGTTGGACTTTAATTTCTCATTTGAAGTTGCTGAAATCTGTTCGCAAAGATTCTCCAGGTACATTCTGTGTTCGGGATGTGTTTGTTAGTTACAATATTGAATATTTATATCTTATACACGTTTATATATATATATATATAATATATTATCCTACAATCAAAAGAAAATAGTCACGGAATGAAATTACGTATACAGAAGATAAAGTTTTAAATAAATTTACTATAGATAAATTCCGAGCCTTCTGGCAGTGTGTGTGTCTATGGTTTACTATTAGTATTATAAAAAATCGTATTCGTTTTGCTAAAAACTTGGAATATCGTATCGAGTATATATGAGAGGAATAGATACTCGCTAGGCTGCTTTTGACAAAGTACGTAGGTATACTTAGTAATACAGCTCTCAATTAATACTTTTTACATTCACTGTAGAACTAGAGTTATTTAATTGATTTGATAATGTGAATGACGTACTTATAAAATAATGTAATAATTAATTATGTGATTTTACCAAATTATGTAACTGGTTAATGAAAATCCTTTAGCAACTAATCAATAAATAATGTTGGTGTCTGTCTTGCCATATTTTAATCTACAATTAAAAATAATTTAATAGACGACTCTGAGTCCGGTTATAAGAATTCTAAGGCCTCGTTTATTATTTGTGACCTTAAGACAGATTTATTCATTTCTATAAATTATTTTGCAATTCAATTAAATTTTCTTATAAATCAATATGATTGACATTTCTATGGATTTTGTTTACAAAGTATTTAAGGTATATGTTATATGTGGTTTTTATTAGCACATCGCGTCACTTCGCTTAAATTTAGTAAGTACATTATGATGTGCTTAGAAGAAGTGATTAGAAGGTTTATGAGGAATAGAATGTATTACTTGATCCGTTCGATGGTGACGTCATAGCTGTTTCATTAGAAATAGAGCAGCCTTGCGATTGGGTTCGAAAAGTGAGTTACAGAATCGCTGGTCAGTGGTCATTTAGTTTTTGTAATTGGCAAGTAGGTGATCAGTCTTCTGTGCCTGACATACGCTGTCGATTTTCGGGTCCACGGTTGCTGTAACTGTCTTGATTTTGTACTCATTTATGCGTCTATTGTTATAATTGCTTGTTTCCTATAAAATATTATTGAATAATTGGTTGCGGTTGGCCTCAAACAGACAGTATTTAAAAAAACAAACCAATCAATACTAATATAAGATTTGTACTTTTGTAATGAATAAACGTAAAATATATGTACAGATACCGGCAAACTTCTTGAGCAATAAACAAGGGAGTGAGGGAAAGTTTGCTCATCATACACATACACACACTCACAAACGTCAATTGATTTATCAATCTGGCTTCTGCGCAGGCAAGGACATTTGTTCAAGATGTTTGCCGGTATCTATACCAATGGCGCTATAAGCCTTGATGTCTGGTCAGATTTCTGTCTCTGCGCCGTGATAATTTCTGTTCCTGACACACGTCGTCGACTTTTGGGTCTCAAATGCCGACTTCCTCACGATGCTTTCCTTCACTATTAAGCTAATGTCAAATTACACATAGACAACTCCATAGGTGCACAGCTAGGTTTGGAACGACGTCAGGGAAGAGAGTTGCACACTCAATTCAATAGCTCACTCGATATAAATATTTTTCTTGTATTTTTAGCCTAAACAAAATGCTAAAGGAATCAAAAGTTATTTTAAATCGTAAAAATGCCAAGCGCATACAAAATTATGTAGATTAAATTAAAATATCGCAACAGGTGTACGGTGATCTATGCATGGGATCCGAGTTGCTCAAGCGCAGAATTGTCACGGTACAGCTTGTGCAATCGAAACTTGTACACATTTTATATAACCGGCTGTGCTCCGACGCTTCGAACTTTGCATACACCAAGTTGCTTAAGCTTATAGAGACACGTCAATCATACAACAATGTTGCATTGGTATGTTGCGATTTCTTAACGGTAATTTGCAGTTGTTTTTATTATTTAAAAAAAAACTTGCTGATGATGGATTATTTCCAAATTTGTTACGTTACTATCAAACTATTAAATCACCTTCCTAGTAGTTGGTGGAAGGTGGTTAAATTTTTGAAGGCAAGGTACTTTTTCTTCGATTTTTTTCCGAAAACCTATCATTTAAATTTCTTAAGTGAACAATTTTTTTTTTCATAGAAATTATGTATTGTAATAAGAATTTTTGGGGCATGGCAAAAAAAAGCTTGGGAAACACTGATTTTGACCATAAGTTTTGACAACAATTATAAATATGACATTTGCAAATGCCTATTTTTATATGGCTGATTGTGCGTCTTTTTATTATCAATCAATCTTTTGTTGCAAATAAACGGTTTATTACTATTATTAAAAATCGTATCTAGTTCGTTACGAAGCATTAAGTTACTAACTCTAACTTGACTTGTAGCCACGGAGGAAACATAGATTTACTATGGACCTATAATGATAATTGCAACATCAAATAGCTACAAAATTGTCTTTGAAATCGTTTCTCTGCTGTTATGTAGCGTTCTAAAATCGACTGCTGGGCATCAAACAAACGAGGTACTTACTGATAACACTAGAGGCAGTCGTAATAGAAAGAGTAGCGGCGATTGCAAAAAACCATGCGACGACTCGTGCGACGCGCGGTCTCCGCATGGTCGCTACCGGCGCCTGCGCGGGCCCCGCCCCCCTCGCATCACACCCTCGCACCACGCCACTCGACCGACACACCTGTAGGACAATCAGTATTAGACAAAGTTTTAAAAATGCATATAACAATTCTCTCAACCGATGAACACTTCTATATAAAACTAGCTGACCCGGCAAACGTCGTTTTGCAAAACACATGGCAAAACGACCAAAAAATCTAGGAACCATTTTATTAGTTCAAAAGTAAAAAAAAGGTTGAAAATAACTACCTACTATAATAAAAAAATAGGGGTTGATCGTACAGGGGTGACAGTGAAGAGTTGTATGTATTTTTGTATGATGTATCATAAAAAAGGGTGCGTGTACTTATGTACGCGCGTAAGAAGTTATACTTCTTTGGCATTATTAAAAATAGTTTTTGATTGCATGCAAATAATTAATTACAATTAAATAATCAAAGACTGGAAAAGGAGTCATTAAAGTCAATAAAGTTCAGTTTACATTTGAAAAATTAATTAAATAAATATTTATTATTATTCTCTTACATTAAACAAATAAAACACTATTTATCTTTAAAACATTTTTTTTTCATTATACTATTTATTTTTAAGTGACTCTAATGTCTTCATCAGAATTTCGGTTTGTAATTTTAAATTAATCATTACTTGGTTGTGCATCTACGAGGCTTCTCCAAAACTACTTGCTTTCTGCAACAAATAAGAGAATATTAATTTAAGCTCTGTCCATGCAAAACTTAAAATTTTTTATAATTCATATTATAATTTTTTAACACATTTATATTAATATAATTATATAAATGTGTTAATAATATAATTTGTAGCACATGCTACAGACCTGGATAGCAACTTTCTTTTATTCTATTTAGAGATAGAGATAATTTAAATATAATACCGGTGTCTTCCTTGTAGGTTTCTTTGGAGTTGTTTGGGGATTCTTGTTGTTCAGTTCGACATGATTTTCTTTAACCTTTCTTTAATCCTACAAAATAATGAAATTGTTAAGTTATGTTGTCACTGTTGTGCACACCTTTGTTTGGCTTTTTTAGTATTCAAGTTATGTCAAAACTGATTTATTACCTTGTCATTGTTGGCTTTATTTGCTTTTGGGATATCAATTGTTTCCAAAATGATTTTATTTGTAATAACCTGAAATATATAAATAACATCTATTAATTTAAGTATCATGGTGAGTGGTTCGCACTCAGGTATTAAGGTGTATTATACCCACTGTCCATTATAAGTGGGAATGGGCTCACTTCTGGCAGGACAGAGTTTCGGTACTACAAGTGCAACATGGATGTTTTGAGGTATTACAATATCTCTAACTACCCTGTAGGGGAATAAAGTAATGTTGTAAGCATATGCCTATGCTTGAAAGGTTTAACCTTGAACATCACCATACATCATATTTATAATTAACATTCCTACCTCGACACCATCACAATCAAATTCATTGAAATCTACTTCAAACCATTGTGTCTCGAGAAGGTGATGGTGGCTTTGTTCCACCTCCAGTTTTTGATGTTTCACTGCGATAAGATGACAACTCTTTTTTGTATTCAATTTAGTGCACTTCCACTGATTCATCAATTGTTTTTTGTCTCTTGTCCTTATATTTGCTAGATTAAATCTGATGTTTTGATTAAATAATGTGGTCATTTTTTTGAGATGCAGGTACTTATTAAAATGTTTACTTCTCTGTTATATCGCTCCAAGCCTTCATTTTCTCCTTATTAGTATTCGTGCTTAAATCTTTGTTCTCAATTATTGATATATAGGGTCGTAGAATATTTCTAAAAAGTTGCTGTAACAAACGCAATAAACAAAAGCAATGAATAATGGTTCATGTTTCAGTTTTAATCAACAATAATACTCGATAATACATACGGATAGTTAACCTCAATTGTATTGAAGCACTCAGGAAGGTTAGCACAGTTTTTTCACAAATATTTTATATTATTTCACAAATATTTTGTATAATGAAAATAACTAGGTATATAATTATTAATTTTAAACAATAATTAAAACTCCTCTATTTGTTTAAAAGGTAAATGTCATTGTCAGATGTCAATTGTCATGGTCATTCAAAATTCTTGTTAAGCTGCTAAGCTAGAATATGCGTGAAGTTAGCTTCACGCATATTCTATTTCTTTTACTTGTAGTTTGTCTTATTCCCATCTCGCTCGCGCACGCTATATCACACTGCCAATTTTGTGTCATAGGTGCGCGCGCAATCGTAAAATTTCACTCTCATCAATTTTTCATAACGCGCCTAAAGAAGTACAACTTCAAAAATAAAAACATAAAGTTATGGCAAAAAAATAAAAATTTAGGGCTTTACCAACCACCCTTAGCATTTAGGATGGGTGAAAATAAATAGATGTTGTCCGATTGCCAGACTTACTAAATATGCATAAAAATATTCATAAGAATCGGTCAAGCCGTTTCGGAGGAGTATGTGAACGAACATTGTGACACGAGAATTTTATATATTAGATTAACTCCAAAATTCTTTTATCAATCTTAAGTCAGCCATTACTTATAAAGGGTAGACAAATATTATTTTATTATATTATAAAAATTATAACTATTCATTAATAGAGTAAAAAAAAAATCTTCTCAGCTTCTAAAACAAAGAATTAATATGTCGTTTATAATTTCAAACGTGATTAAACTCGTATCTTAAGTAACGACCGAGTCAGTGGACTCTGAATTTCAATGATAAGAAATATATAGAATGTTCGCTACTCAAATGACAGGATGTGCACCTTATGATAGAACGCGTAAAACGTTCAACCATTTTACACACTATTTTTATAAACGTCTGATTTCAATGGCACACCCATCGGTGTTTGGTTGGTCTTTAGTTGTTATAATCGGTAAGTTTTGAACCAATTCGAGTTATCGTCCTTCAAGAAGAGAGCGTTAATTCTTTAAAATCCGGCAACGCACTTGCGAGCCTTCTGGCAATGTCCATCGGTGGTATCACTTAACATCAGGTGAGTTTCCTGCCCGTTTGCCCTTATTACTTAAAAAAACAGTTGAAATTTTGTTATAATAAATAGTTTGAAATTGTGATTCTAGCGAACGTTGAAAAACCCTTAAGGTTTAAAATTCAACGTTTATTATTTTAAAGGATCGAATTTTAATATTGAAATTCACGTCACGCCACGCTACACATATGATAGCAAATGGGTACAAAACTCTCAAGTTGACTTTACAAGTTACAGATTTCCAGCGCTGGTTCTAATCAGCGCAAGTCAAGTTTAACTTAATTGAATACTTATGACTAATGTATATAATTAAACTATTAAGAATCTTTCAAAACCTACATAGTAATAATAAAATTAATAAAAAGAAAATTAGAACACATTTAAAAACCAACCTAAATCTTTAATTAGCGCCTGTGCTAGACACCCCACTCCCTTTGGAGTAGAGACTTTTCTCTACACCAATCGAAGTTGGAGGAAAGACTTATATTTGAGTCGTTTATTATTTTTAATTTCATAAATATCTTTTATTACAAAAAAATAATCGATAATATACCAAAAAGTTTATAAAAAACTTATATATAACCAGAAATAAGTCACTAAACGCAAATCGCTTTTATAAATCAAAATAATCATTAATAAAACAATAAATTTCAAATATATGCCTTAAAAGATCGATCAATTAATTATTCAAAGTGACCCTGAGCTCACGATAATATCGATTGACTGCCAAACTTCGTCCTAGTGCATTTTTTATAACATTCCACACGAGGTCAATGCCTCGTATTATTTACCTCTAATTACGCCTAGATCATTTCAAATTCTTTACGTTGTATTGAAATTCAATTTTTACGTAACTTCCCAATGAGGTATGGGGCTGACACAGTCTGGGTGAGGGTGGGATCTCCAACCCTTGAACCCCTAGTGTTCCTGGACTGCAATAATTGTTCAATGGATCTTTCTGTTCTTATTAAGATCCATGGAGATGCAGAAGAATGCCAAGATTTAAAGTGTATAATAAATTTAATTGATTTCACATATGCACAAATAATGGCACATGGATTATTATTAGAAATCTATAGGCTTAGATAAATGTAGTGAAATGAAACATTGATATTACGTTTTGCAACTCATCATAGTCCAAGAACTTAGGTGATATTTAAAAAACAAGTTTGAATTAATTGCTGTTGAAATAACGTTAATTTTTTCTTTTTATTCATGTTTTACTGATTAATTTTGCCTTAAATATTGCGAAGAAACGAACCTACTATAAATTGCCTAAATGTAATGTTTCCAGTCAAGGTACAGTTACAAGGCTACAGTTAAAAAATATTTGAAAATATATTAAGTAATATCTGTTATAGCAGTAACAGATATTACTTAATATATCTATAACGTCAAAAATGATAGCTGGGGTCCTTTAATGAGGACTCCACCACCACAGGTGTAGTGTCTACAAAAAGCTTTCGGGTTAGCTGATATTGATATATTGATAGTTGTTGATTTACTCATTGATAGATTGTGTATTGTAATGGACACTTATTTCATCTAAATTAATTACTCTTAAGGTAATGGAATCAAAAATATGTGTTTAAGATTTTATTTAGAATTTTTTTTTTCTGTGAACTTCATTGCTATTTGCCTATTCTACATCTTAATTTTTATGCTCTATTATCATTGATGAGAATGTGTATGAATCGAAAGATTATATTTAAATAATACAACTGCTAGTAGACGTAAAATAAGTAATTTCATTTACGATATTTTTGTGCAAGCTTTTGTCAATAAATGCCACTACATAAATATGTTTTGGCTTCATAATTCCAAATTCCAGGCAAAGAAGACGCGTGGTAACTACTTAGAAATATGTGTTGTAAATCGGGTAATGCTAAGCTTTTATAAGCGCCATGAGGTTCTCATTGTCAATTAGACAAGTTCCGGCTTTAGATCCTCCTCAGTAATGCGTTTTAGATTCAACAAAAAACCTAATGAATTC